AAAAACTTTAGGTTTCCTTTATTTTTATTATTTTTTAATGTTATACACTTATCTAAGGCTGAAAGGGCCATTACACTCAAAAAGGGTACTTTTTTTATTACACTTTCGCCTTCCTCTCTTAAATCTTTAGCTCCAAAACATAAACCTGGATGAACCAAGCTGCACGGAGAAACAAGAAGAGCACAGCAAGTTTATCTCTATCGTTCAAAATTACTTTGTTTCTTTCTAAAAAGTTTTAATCAAGAGGTATTTCTTCATAGTCCAAGTAATGAAAATTTTCTTTAAAATAATTATTTTGTAGATACAGTTATGAGCAAAAAGATCCAACTACCCAGCAAAAAACCATTTTTGTATTGAATAATGTACAAATTAGAAAGTACAAGATATTGAATCTGAGTACATTACACATCATCACATTTTACCAATTCAATCCATTTGTTCTTGGCAAAATTTGAGAAGAAAATGAATACTTTTTAAATAAATTTAAGAAATCAGGGCTTTAATGCAGGACATTAAAAATAAAGATTAAAGTTCTCGGCAAGGAGTATTTGAACTGTGCAATTACTAGATTTGATACTAGGAAGGAGTTGATAGAAATATGTGAACTTGATATTTGTATATACTTCACAGCGAAACAAAGTATCATGTTACTGGTTTTTTGAGTGCTAATTCTTGGATTAATGCCATTTGTTGACTTAATATGCTGAATGATATCATGAATAGTTGTCTTCAGCATCTCTAATATTTTTTAATGGAGAATTTTTCAAAAATTTTTGGAGTTGGAGTCAGAGTTGGAGTCAGAGTTGTACTCAAAAAATTTCAACAACTTGAGTCGGAGTTGTTACTTTTTTTTTACGACTCCACACCCCTGCTTGTTACATTAGGGTGTATTAACATGTACACTAGGGTGTATCAATTTTCACTTTTTTTTTGTGTGACTTTTTACTTTTTGAAATGTGATGGTGGCTAGTGCACATTTTTACTCAAAATAAATAAATCCCTGCTTGATCGCATGCATTATTATTTTTAATAACAAATACAAAAGTTAACAATAGTTTAGGTTAACAAAAAACAGAAAAATAACAATGATAACAACTTTGCTCTATTTATTTTTATTTCATATGTAAAATAGGGAAAAATCTATTTTATACATACTGCCTGCCTAACAAAACAATAAATGTATGTGCATTTGTCCCAGATATCCCATTTTCAGTAAGTTAACATTGACACTTTGTTTCTTACACAACTTTTTTATTTTTAGTTTATTATAACAACGCAGTTGTTTTAAGTCTTGGTTTTTATCGTGAAAGCTATTGCAAAATAACAAGTTACCAAAAAGTGAAAAGGTTTTACAATGGTTTTTAATAAAAAAAAAAACAAACAAAAAACAATCAGTATGTAACAACATAAGTGATCAATACCTGATAGTAAAATAGCGTTGAAAATTTTTATTTTTATTTTTTAATTTTCTAAAGCACAAGCAAAATACATAAATCTACATTGATTTTTAAAATTAAAATAAATTTACTGCCATTGATTTAATAACAATAAACAAATTTAAATAATTATTTGTAATAACAAATACCAAATAATAAATATTTATTTCCATTTTTAAAATGCCATGTATTATTATAGTGTCATCACCAGGGCTTTTGAGTCGAGGTCCAAAAATTGGCTCTGGTTCCAGTTAATTAGAATTTTTGGCTCCAGTACCAGCTACAGCTCCGAAGCAGCTCCGCAAAAAAAAAAAAATAATCAAAATTTTTTTTGAGTGTTTTATGACAGTAACTTAAGTACTATTAATACTTTGTTAATCAAAATCTTGATTCATCCTTGAGAATAAAATATCTAAAATATCAGGTTTGATTGAAGAACGCAGATCGCTTGATACAAACTTAAGAGCAGAAAATAGCATCTCTTGTTTGCTTGTGAGATAGGTATACAAATAACAACTCTGCACACCTTGTATTTTTTTTGGTATTCTTCAATTCCCTCAAAAGCTGAAACCATTTTTGAACGCTCATTATCTTACAGTCGTCCAAAAAATTTGTATAAAAAGTATTTATATCAAAAACATTAAGAAAAAAAGGTGACCAAAATTAATTTTGGTCATACAAATTTAACTTTTCCTTTTTTCTTTTTTATCAAGCCTTATTTTGCTCTAACTATCTGGTTTTCTTCCGATAGTATTCTATATCTAGCATCAACAAAACTGCATCTAGAATTATCAAAAGGTTTTTATACTTGTTTCTCCATAGATTTTGAAATGTCTTCTGCAAATAGTCCTTGATTCTTCTCTAGGTCAGATTTCAATTTCAACCATTCCTTTAGGAACTTACTTTGAGTAATGTTGATTAACTGTAACATCATGTTTTTTTAAAAGCTTTTTTAAGCTGTCACATCAGCTTTTTTAAAAGTTTGCAAAGATGACTAGGTTTATCCCATATTTCAGGGCGTATATAATATCTGATCAACTGCAGCAAATTGCTTACACAGTGGACGCAAAAGCAATAATCTTTCAATTATCCAGAATATAGAACCCCTGCGTTTCTCATCTAATATTAAAACAACCTTGTATTGCTTCCTTGCTAAAAATATTGTGTGAGCCATTTGTAAAAAAAATTCTGTATATATACAACATAACAGGCTTTTGCCAAAAGTTGGGCAATGTATGTTTTTTTTAAATCACACAAATACAATACGCTGCAAAGTGTGAGTAATACAGCGCATCAGCCTAATGTCAGTAGACAATTGTTGACACCATTCTGAGTTGATAAAGGCTAGATTTTCTTCCTGAGCTCCTTCGCTTTCTTCTTCATTTGTACCCTGTTTTAAAAATTCTACTTGTTCTTAATTATGCAAAGTTTTATCTCAAAAATTTTCATCACCAGAATATTTGTTTAAAATTGTGATTGCTCTAATCACATTGGCTGCATTGTCTACACTTGCACATACTATTTGATCATTGCTGACACCAAATTTATATAGAGTATCTTCTGCCATTTTTTGATAGCAAAAGAGGTTGTGCTGTCCTTGTGTATCTATCAGTGCCAAAATTTTTAAATTTTATTTTGCATAATAATATTGAACATTTATTTCCAAATAGTTATTTTGGTGTTGAGTGGTTGTTGAGTGGCTGCATTTATTTTCACATAAATAAATTTCTGTAGCAATATTTCACATAAATAAATTCTGTAGCAATATTTCACATAAATAGAATTTCTGTAGCAATATTTCACATAAATAAAGTAGCAATTTTCACATAAATAAATTTCTGAACAATATTTCTTTTATTTCAGCTTTCTTTTTTCAGCAAATTCATTAATCAAATTGTGTACAGAATTGTGTCCAGTACTGAATTCAAGAGTTTTACCTAATTAGCCTGTAACCAACTGAAATTTTTAGCAGTAACTTGATTTATTGCTCAACTACTAGTGATAACAAAAGAATCTAAAGTAATCTGCTTAGTTTTTTTAGAACTGAAATCTTGTAAATGTGATAAAATGATTTTGAAGATTTTCTTTGGGCCATAAAGCTTATTTCAGATTCAACAATTTTATATTCTGATGTGACTTTTCCAAATACCGCTTCATATTATAAACTTTTGATTTTTCTATTTGCATGGCACATGAAATCACTTTCTTATTTAACTTTTCTGTAATCTTACATGTAACAAGTTTTGTAGCTTTATCAACCGAAAAAATACTTATCTAGAAACCTCTCAGAATCGTTTGAGTTTAAAGCTATTTTCATAAAAAACTATGAAAATAAAGTAAATGACAAATTTTAAAGATAAGAGAAATAATAAAAAAGGTAGTATAAACAAAAATAATATCAATGATATTAAAAAAAAAAAAAACGTTTAAAATCTTTTCCTAATTTTATTTGGAACTCACATGTTTGAATCTATTTTAAAAATGCTTCAACTAATTAAAAACGTTAAAACAAATCATGTGACTTAACACATAGATAAAGTATTTTTCAATTATGGATTGTCCATAAAGTATGCTGAATGGGGGTCAATTATGAAAGTAAGGAGACACTAAATTTAAAAAAATATTATAAAGTGTTGAGTAGGTATGTTTAAAGGGTAGGTACTATTAAGGAGGTGAAGGGTACTCAAAAAAGTATAAAGCAAAATACAGGATGACGGGTTAGAGGGGGGGTATTGGAGAGATAAAAAAAAAAGCTTATGTACTATATAGACGATCTCTTAACCAATCATTGACATTGTTTAGAAGTATTGTTTTAAAGTAACTTATCATACTCTACAATAAGAACCACATGACATATTACACAAAATAAAATTTTTCTTTTTGTTTTTTTTATAAACCATATGAACAAATGCATTATTTAGAAATTATAAATATTTTAGTGAGTGTAATTGATTAAATTCTTTAAAAAAATCTCATTATATAAATAATAACTATGGAAATTTGATATTTCAAAATATCAAAAGGGTGGAGCCAGCTCTGGCAGGAAATATTTTAGCTCCAGTTCCAGCTCAGCTCTATGTAAAATTACCAGCTCCAGATTAAAGTACCAGTTCCAGCTATGGAGCTGCTCCAAAACCCTGGTCATCGCTAATATTTTGGGCCAACCTAAACCAACAATAATAAGTAATCCCAAGACCATTAAACAAGGGAAAAAAATATGTCAACTGGGAAAATACTATGTATATAAAAGATATCAAGTGTGGTTGCTTGTAAAAAAAAAACAAATTAATTCAATTTTTGTTTCTGTGCAGCAGCCTTGTTTGATAAGGTTCATGTTTCGGAGTTAAAGAGTTAATAGAGGGTTGTAACCACAATAAATTAGCTTCCTCAGGTGATTATTAATTTAAAAATAATAACCTAACCTAGCAGTAAAAGCCCATGAGATTAAAAAAGAAAACAAAACAAAGCAACTAATATTTCAATAAATACTTATGTATATAAAAGATGTCAACTGTGGTTGTTTGTAGTAACAAAAATAAAAAAAATTGAACATACAATACATACCTTTCAGCAAAAACTTGATTTTCTGTTCTATTTGTAATTTTATTTTCATTTTCTTTCTTTATAAGAAAAAGAATATCATTTGGCAAAGCAGACAGAGATTTATGTCGCCTATTTTTATGTAAATGCTGTGGTCTATATGTTAAACAAGCTGGCTTAGAGATAGTTTCACATTGGTCTAAAAAATTAAAATACTGTAATTTTCTACTGTTTTCAATAAATGATGTTTCTGCAAAGTATTCTGAAGGTTTTACAACCTCTGTACAATCACAAAACATAAAAATTTTAATGATGATGCCAATAATAATGAGAAACAACTGATAGGAAACTCTGCTTGTGACGTTATTTTTTTATAAAAGTGTAACATTTAGTCCAGTGTTTGTATGTGTAAAAAAAAAAAAGATTCTTAAATTTTAAAATGGCAGGCCTTGTTTTAAATAAAAAAGTGCTTAACGCATTAGCTTAATGCGATATTTGACGTAATAAAATTATCTTTATTTTTTTTTATAGACGTTAAGTGTTTTAACTACAGCAATAAATAAATAACCGCTAACTAGTTCAATTTAATTAAAATCGTGTAAACTTAAAAAAACAAACTTGAAAAAAATTGTGCTAACTTAAAAAAATACTCAACTAAAATAATATATTTAAGTATATTTAATAACTTGAATCGTATCTATTTATAATAAACGTTCGTAAAAATTTGTTTATTAAAAATTAAGTTCCTTAACTTATAAACAAACTCAAAAGTACTTTCATTCTACGTATAATTACAAAAAAAAAACTCTTTTTTTTCTTCGTTTGTAAGCAATTCAACTTAATAAAATAAAAAAAGAATAAATATGACGTAATCTTTGTTAAGAACAAATTTAATTTATTTTTTAAACTATATTTTTATTTTTATTTATATATCAACTTAAATTAAATATAGTAACATGTTAAAATATTTTAATATGAGTTGTGTTATTTATAAACCGTAGGGCAGCTGCCCTTACGACACAATTGTTTTAGGATAATATTTTATTTTGATGAAGATCACATAGCTTACATTTGATTTTAATAACATAAGTCTTCTCTTTTTCTGTGATCATCGCATCGGCAAAGCATCGGCAAAGTCCCAAAATTTAAAAGTTTTTAAAGGAAATCTTATGTTCTTCAAAATACAATCCATATTCGAACTTTAAACAATTTAGAGAGAATAGAAATATAAAAGGTTTTTATATACTAGTTTGTCTTGTTTTATAAAGAAAAATACATATTCATTAATAAAAAATAGAGACTGCCATTAAACTAAAACGTGCCTTAGTATTTATTTAACGGAATCTGTAATGTGCGCGTGCATAATGAAACCTCTATTATATAAATATATTCAACGTAATATTAGTGTCATCAGCGGATGTTATAGTCTACTCATGATTTCTTTACCTTATAATATAACTTGATCTATGAAAAAAATTTATTGAATTGCACGCAGAAGAAATTTAACAAATTGTTTTCATTCAAAAATTGCGAGTAACAGGTAATTTTTTTTTTCTATGCTGGCCCCCTCCCCCCGCATAACTTAAAAGCAAAGGTATCTATATACCTTTAACTAATAAGAAAAGCAAAGAGTAATAATTAATGAAATAATTTTAGAAAAATACAAATAGATTGTTCATTCATTGGCACATTTTTTTTAATATCTTGAAAAAATATTTTTGTTATCATAACAAAAATATTAAGACGTTTTTTGATATATTAAAAAAATGTCAACCCTTAATTACAAATTTTTTGCAAATGTTTTTTAATATGAATTTAGTAAAAAACTCTTAAAAAATCTATATTACAAAAAACATTTATATTCTGTATTAATAAGTTTGGAATATAGATTTTTAAAAAGTTTTTTACTGAAAACTTTAAAAAGTTACTACTTTTTATTAAAAACAATTGCAAAAAATTTGTAGTTAAGGATTGACGAACAATTTTTCATGTTACTAAATATTTGAATAAAACGTTTAGCGTAAAATTAAATGTTATAAAAACGTATGATATATTGCAATAAAAAGTTACTTCAATTATTTTTAACGTAACTTCTTTTTTCTAATAAATATTTTTACATATCGTTCATATTCAAAAGTTAATGTGGTTTTTTTTTAAATTAATTACTTCTTTAATGTTACCGCTAATTTAAAAGTTAAAAAATGATAAAAAGTAGCTTAACCAAAACAGCTCTTCGCGTACGTAAAAATCGCTTAAGGCGTACGTAAATCGCTCTAGGCGTAACGCTTTAAAACAAGGCCTGAAATGGGTCCCTAAACTCACTGCCCCACCCTCCCCCTTCCAAAATAAAAATTATGGTGTGGGGTAGCCTAGCCATGACTGTGTGTTAGGTCTTTGAATCTTTAATCAACTAATTTTTATTTTTTCTATTAATTTCTATTCTTTCTATTAATTCGATTTTGCAACATTATTATTATATATATATATATATATATATATATATATATATATATATATATATATATATATATATATATATATGATTTTTTCCCAGTCGCCCGCAGGGTGACTGAAATAGTTTTTATTTCTTATATCAGTCGTCTACCATAATAATCAGTAGTCACATAACTATAGTAAAAACAATTTGATGTAACAGTCAACAAATAATGCATGCTGTCACACGGCCTAGTCACAAATGAAACATAAACGCACACAGCCTAGTTAACGTATCCACTTCAATGAAGCAGATTGGAACTTTCAAAATTAAGTGTCACAGAATATTCGGCACTGAAATATTTGACTCTTCAGCCAAGCGCATAGCGAAATATTCAGTATTTGGCAAAGTCACTATTCATGAAATCTCTACATTTTTAATTATACAAAGACTTGTTTTTTATTTTTTAGAAAAAAATAATTTCCACATGCATCATTAAGTGCGTTCTAATAATGATTTTTCACATGCATAATGTTTATTATTTTGTTGATTTTATTTTATAAAAGTCAAAATTTATTTTACTAATAAAAAACAAGAGATTTGTGTTTAAACTTATTTTACTAATAAAAAACAAGAGATAATGTTTAAAAATGCTTCACTAGCATTTGGAATTAAAAGAAAATACAATTTTAAAACTCATTTTAAATTGAAAAGAAACATGCTTCAAAATGCAACAACAACATTAAAAAAAACAGTAAAGTTGCACTTTGAAATATTAAATCGCATGTAGGCTTCTTTTTATTTAGTTTAGTAAAATTATATAAAACACAGTAGTGAACTTATTTTAAATGAAGTGTATACTACAATAAATGCTTTTTAAAGGTTTCTTTTAAATAATCACAAGTAATAAAATCTTCATAGTTAAAAATATGGTTTTAATAATAAACACACTTTTGTAAATAACAAACTGTCTAATAAACAAACTTTTGTAACTAACAAACTGTCTGGTTGTTCTGCCGGACTACTGACAGGCATTTTTTATTAAAATTTCAGTTCCCTTGGAAAAAATGAGTCATCTCGTGCCACCAGACAACCATTAGGCTACACCCCTACATATATATATATATATATATATATATATATATATATATATATATATATATATATATATATATATATATATATATATATATATATACATATATATATATATATATATGTATATATATAATAATACAAATAATGTTGCAAGATCAAATTAATAGAAACAATAGAAATTAATAGAAAAAATAAAAATTAGTTGATTAAAGATTCAAAAACCTAATAAAAAATTCAAAGCTAATAATAGAGAGAAGACTGATCCGACAATAGTTGGAGGGAACAGAATGTTTCCCAGAGTTTTTAAAAATTAGAACCACAGATGCAATTTTCCACCAGGCAAAAACAAGATTTCTTTGCAAATAGTTCAGCCTTATCTTTGGGAAATGTTATAAGATGAGACCCATAAATTAAAAAAGGAATGTTTGAATTATAACGCTGCTGAAGATTTTCCAAAAGTCTCTAGAGCCTAACTTCTAAGATGTTTGTGTACCATAAAATTTATTAAGCAAACAATTATAAAGATATTACTGGTATTATAATATAAATTTTTTATAATTATTTCATAAATACTAAACTATAAAAAAAACTGTATCTTTTTTAAAATCTTTTATATATGAAATATAAAAATAGATTTTTTTAAACTTCATACTTAAGAAAATTTTTAATAAACAATATGCATGAAAACTTGTGAGAAACAACTTGCAAAAACAAAATTTTTCAAAAAGTTGTAAAAACAAAGTTTCTCAAAAAAGAATCAAATCACAGTTTCAATCAATTCTAATTAAGAAATGCACTGACAAAATACCTGAAAAAGTTGGTTTAAAAAAATCATACTGGACACCTGGAATAAAATACATAAGCAACACACGCTATAAGATCTGCGTATGCGCAGATAGTACATCATCGTCATCATCATCATCACCATCATTATCATCATCATTATCATCACCATAATCATCATCATCATCATCATTAGATAAGTAATGATAGTTATCATAATAAAATAATTTAAAATTAACATACTATGATAAGAAGTAACTTTTGAAGTCTCTTGATATAAATGAGCATTAGCTAATACTGATTCTTGGGAAATATTTGCAGCACTCATATAAAGTTCTTCATTAGTAGGACTTCCTAATCTTTTTGATAAATAGTCTTTATTTGATACAATGTAATTTTCAGACTTAGGCGGACTACTACTACTCTTTTCACGGAAGGATGTTTTACGTGAAGAAAATTCCATTTCTATTAAACCATCTGGCTCAATAGATTCACGAGAAATAGGATATAAACTGTGTAGCGATCTGCTAGATAAACTTGATTGTCTTGTTAAAGACAAAATGTCTCCAGATATTGGTGTATTTAAAGTAGAAGATGGTTGTTGCAAGTTTTTCAGTAAACTAGATTGTTCAGATTTAGAGCCTTGATTAGTCAATATTTGTGAAACTGATTCTTGATTTGTCAAAATTTGAGATGAGGAACTTTGATTACTAAACATTTGAGACACTTTACTATCAAAAATATGAGATATAGAACCATTATTATTTGACCTTTCAGATATAGAACCATTATTAGCCAACATTTGTGATTTGGGACTTTGATAACCCAACATTTGAGAGTTAGATCCTTGATTAGTCAACATTTGAGAGAAAGAGCCTTGATTATACATCTGTTTTAGAATGGTTTGTTGATTATACTTTTCCCGATTCTAACAAAACAAAAATTTATTTGACAAAGAACTGCAATAACATAAGAATATAAAAAGAAAAAAAGATAAACAGTTGTTAAAAAAATTTTAAAAATATGGGTGAATGAAAAATCTTGATGTTGTTACCATAACATTTCTGCTGCTTTCAAGGACTTTTTTTTAAACAAAAACTAGTTAACTCAGTCAACAGAATTTTTTCCCTAACAATTTTGCTTATAGATTTTGCCTTCTATATGACACTAGTGACTTTCAGGCACATTTTTCCATGTTGAGGCTTATTTTAGGACACCATCTTTATTTAACCAAAAATCTAAAGGCAGAATAAAGTTAACTTAGGGAAAACATTATTCTGCTTTTGGGTTTTTGGTTAAATAAATAAAGATGGTGTCTTAAAATAAACTTCAACTTGAAAAATGTGCCTGCAAGTCATTAGTATCATGTAAAAGATAAAATCTTTAGACAAAATCTTTAGGGGTAAGGAGAAAAGTTCTGTTGACCAGTCTTGCACCTCTTTTTCCAGCTTATAAGCAAGCACAGAAAACATGTGTTACATTATTTCCTGCTTAGAATGATAGACACAGGATCATGAACTTGTTTCAATCTTTTACAAACATTCTTCAAAATAATTTTTTTCTTACTTGATTTCTTGATCTACTTGTTTATGAGACTAGAATAAGCAATCCAAAGATCTCAAAATCCTTGGATCTTGCACAAATATATTTTTGTATAATAAGTGTTTTTAGTGATAATAATGTTCAGCAGGACTTTATCATGCAATAAATGTAATAATAATACTAAAATTATTAATAAACAATTAAATGAAGTAATAAAAAAGGATTGTCAGCAATAGTAAAACTTCTTTAAGAGAAAAAAATATAACTTAAAACATAAAATTCAGAGAGAAACACTGTTATTTAAAAGTGGAGACAAAAGGTTTTTTTAAAAATCATTAAAATGCATACTATTATTTGCTATCTATGCAACCAATAAGTGTGGAGTACAAATGAGCTCAGTCGTTGGGATTTTATGCTCAAACAATCGAGCACAATTAAATAACTTAACAATTGGTGTATAAAGCTTTTTAAGTTCACATTTTCAAAAATATGATTCACATACGCTCATTAACATTTTTTTTTTAATGTTATCAATTTAAAAAATTATTTGACAATTTTATTATCTTTATTTATTGATAAATTATTTTATTATGATTAAATTATTAATTTTTTTTAATATTCAATAATTTTTTAAAAGTTAGCTCTTCACACTTCTATACATACTATGATAGTGTTTTTGCTTTCTCCTAAATCCGAAATTTCTTGAATTTCAAAAAAATTGATATCCTGGGATTTGATTTTTTGACATCCTTATGTGAGACTAAACCAAACTTTAAAACTACAATTTGATTGAAATATACACGAGTGACTGCTCCAGAAAGAAAGGGGTGTAGAGCAGTTTGTAATGCATTTAGAAAAGAAATGGAAGGTCAAATTCAAAGGATGCATGAACATATAAAAAAGTGCAAGCAATCACAACCCCATGAAATTATGGAGTCAATTGAAGATCAACAACTTCTTGAAGGTAATTAAAATACTACATTGTCATTTAAAATTTTATACTTTGCCTAAACTGTAAATATATAAATTTAAATTACTACCATGTGTAGACATTAACTTAGAATAATTCAATAAACTGCAATTTCATTTTAAAGGTAACTCACCATCAACATCACAACAACAAATAAAAAGCTCTCAGCCCAATTCAATGTCAGCTGATAAATATTTGAAAATTGATAAGTTTTTCACACAAACAAACCTCAAAGAAAAAGATTTATTTGATCTGGTAGATTTATATACAGTTCAAACTCTAGCTTCAGAACAGTTGAACAAAAAGAATTTATCAATATGCTTCATCCAGGATACACTCTACCTAATAGAACTCAAATTGGAAGAGAAATATTAGATAGGGTTTACACAGAAGAAATTGAAAAATGTATTAAATGGGAAAATTGTAGCCATGTCTTTAGATGGCTGGAGTAATATGCATAATGAACCTATTGTTTGTATCTCTGTAATTACAGACAAAATTAACATTTTAGTAGAAACAATCAACACTTCTGGTCATTCACATACTAGTGAATTCTTACACAATTAGCAAGAGAAGCAATAGATTCTGTAAGACGTAAATTTGGATGCACAGTAAAAAGCTTTGTGACTGACAATGCAGCTAATATGAAATTAATGAAACAAGTATTGTCATTTGAAAGAGATATTATCATAACTTTTGGGTGTGCTGCTCATATGCTGAATCTTTTAGCAAATGATCTGAATATTGAAAATGTGAACAAGCATGTTACACAAATAATAAAATATATAAGAAATAATCATCAAGCTGGAGCAATTTATAAATTAAGCAGAGGAACAAAATTGCCACTTCCTACTGAAACTTGCTGGAATTCTGTATGTGATTCACTTGAAAAATATGTCAACAACTAAAGCATCATTTTCACAATGTTTGAGAAAAATAAAGACTTGGATCTTATCCATATAATATTTATTTCGCTTTATCTGTATATCATAGTGATATACATATAAAGCGAAACACAGAAGATTTATTGAAAATATTAAAACCAATTGCAGTAGCTCTAAATAAGTTGCAAAGAGATCAAACAAAAATAAGTGAAAATGTTGAAATTTTTAAAGATTTGATGAACAGTTTATCATTTTTATCAAACGAAAAAAAAAAAAAAAAATTAAATCTAGATACCTTCAGACTGTCAGTGATGCTCATTTCCTAGCAAACACACTAGATCCTAGATATTTTGGATCTAATCTTTCTGAAAATGAAAATGAAGCTGCCATGAATTTCGCAGATAAAGATTTCAAGAATTTGTTACCAATAATATTCAAATTAAAAGCCACATCTATTCCATACAATAAAAGCTATTTGTATAGTGAATCTATTTTAAAAAATCTATCACCAATAGAATGGTGGAAATCTCTAAAAATTGTGGAATATAACATAATGGATATTGAAGGTTTATTAAATGCACCAGCTTCTAGTGCTGGAATCGAAAGAATTTTTTCAATTTTTGGTCTTGTTCATTCGAAGTTAAGAAACCAATTGGGAGTAGAAAAAGCAGCAAAGCTTGTATTTATATATAGAACATTAAACAATGATATATTGAATAATTTTGATGAAATATAATATTGATAAAAATATTTGGTAATAATATTGGTAAAGAATATAGTTCACTCAAATAAAATATGTTATGCTTTTTCTAATTTAAAATGATAACTAAATACCGCATTTTTTAGTAAAAGCCTATTTTAAACCAAAATAACCATGTTTTTTTTGTGTTTTTTTAAAAAAAACCTATGGTTTTTGGTTTTTTTCAAAAAAAAAAAAAAAAAAAAAAAAAAAAAAAAAAAAAAAAAAAAAAAAAAAAAAAACGGTTTTTTTTTGCAACCCTGACTGATGATAAACTTATATGCTTCTATTTCTTTTGAAATTAAAATTAAAATTTCAGATTTTAGTGTGTTTTTATTTGGCAACACTTCACTCAATCATTATTCTCTTTATTTTTTTACTTTCTTTTTTTCACTCAATCATCTTTTTTGTTTTTTTCACTTTCTCTTTTCCAATGACACTCACTAAAATATTGTAATTCAAATATTTAGCTCATCTTACTAAATGACTTGGCTTTAGTACCAATAACTTTGTTGACACTATAACTCAAAACTTTTGCCTTTCTGAATTTCTTATATTCCCAATTACTTATGTTTTTCAGACAACATAAACCTTTTGTTTCATGATTTGTATCAAATTAAGAGATTCACCATATCATCGTAACTCTCAACTTAAGAGTTAAAACTTAAATTCTTTTTTGATTTACCTCAATTAATGTAGGACTAATATTGTCTCTGCAGAAAATCGCATCTTCTAAGTAATCTCTTGGATTCAACCAGGTATTGAAAGTATAATTTGTTCTTGGTATATCAAACATCATTCTGCTCATTAGTTTTCCCTTTTATATGCAGTTGTTTCTTATAATCCAACTGTAATCATTTCTTTTATCTTTTTTACCAAAACTCTCTTAGTAACTTTCTTGTAGCTTGTAGTTTATTAAACTCTCTTGTAGCAATCTTTTGTAATTTGTTAAACTCTCTTGTAGCCTCTTGAAAATCAACATCCTTGCATTATTGCAAAAAATTGATCCAAAAAGGTAGCATCTAATGTGAAAGTTCATTATCCTCAGATTGTTAAATCTCTTTTTTCAAAGGTTGTGTTAGGAAAATCTTTAATATTGTCAAAAATAGAACTTTCTTCGATACTCTATAAACTATTTAAGAATTGGTTTTCTGTCTGCTAAAAAAAGTTTTTTTACAAAAACTTTGGAGAAAAAACTGCAAAAAATTTAATCTAGCGTGACTAAACATTCAGCTACTTCACGCTCTTTTAATTTCATTTTAGTCGTTTGGTTAAGTTACATGTTTTTTTGTAAACTTTATTTCATATAGTTTTTTCTGTAAACATCAATAAGTTCATTCCTGTCTTCAAATTTTCCTGACAGACAACTTAAAAGTAAATTATATATTTACAACTTTTAAACCTTCTGCTCTTTAATTTTTAAACTCTTTTCTCTATTTCTAACTTGTTTCTAACAGGTTTTTATTCCTAACTTAAATAGTGGTTGCTAACAGTCTTGTTTGAAGTGAATTAGTATAAATAATGAAAAAATAAACAAAAAACAAACAACCTGTTTGAGTTCAATATCATTCATAAGATTTTCTGCAGCTTCCGGAACTTTGAGGCCCATTTGTTGAATCATTTCTCTAATACCCTTAAGGTCCACAGAGAATGAAGCCTTCTAAAAATATATATGATGTTTATCTATAACATAAAAAGCTAATATGACTTAAAAATTTATATCCAAATGAAAATTAACTCAAATCTATTACAATTATCCTAAATTATGTCAAATGTCAAATTTAATTAATAATTAAAAATATGTCAAAATATAAATTATTAAAAATCTTACATCAAAATTAAATGAATCTTGTTGAGGTATTTTACTTAGAAAAACAACGACCGTTTGCAATTTCATTAAACTATCAGATGGGAGTGAAACAAACTAGATGTAAAAATTATTAAATTATCAGATGGCAGTGAAACAAACTAGATGTAAATATTGTCATTAAAAGATATAGAAAAATAATAAAGATAATGTATCTATTGATTGGCCTGATCATATATTTATATGATCATATACTTATAACATAATGAAATAAAAATAGGCGAGGCAAGTGAATACACACAAACACAATACTATATAAAAGTGAAAATTTTTATTTGGTTTATTATACATTTGTTTGTTTTTTGTCTACACTTAGTTATTTTTTTCAAGTTAATGGTAATTTTACTTTTACTTGAGTATATTATTGTTTGAATAAGTAAGAAAAAAACAATAATGACAACAAATAAACCTTTTAAAAAATATATATTCCAAAAGTAAAAAATAAATATATAAAAAATAAAGAGAATTAGCATATATACATAATTTATTCATTCGAAAGAACACTGTAGTTTGAATGACAAAAAGTGCTAGGAAGAACAGAGCAATAATTTCATATAGCAGACAAAACACAAACAAGAGAATCAACTTTATCTTGGCTAAAAAAACTTGTTAGTGGTAATACATATCTAGTGATAGAAAGTTTATCGCTTAGGCAGTGACTAGTAAGAGCTAACAAGGAGAGTATGAGTATACTAATACTTTTATGGTAGGCTGTTCAGCATAAACACTCTGCAAACAGGTCACACATTAGCAGTTATGTGCAAGACAAGTAGTGACAAACCACTATTCATGCGGATGACATGCTAATAAAAGGCACTAAAAATGATAGCTTAACAAAGAACAATTATAAACAGGCGGCAAACAAATATGAAATTAAAAAAATATCTGTTAACGTATATGAAAAAAATACCAACCTTGAGACTAACTTTATCAGCCTTTTTAGTGAGAGCAGCTAAATCAAATTCACTTTGGAATAATGGCAAACTAAATAAAATAACATCATCGTGTTAAGATTATCACAAAACAAATTAAAAATTATACTGTAATTTTCACACATGTTTTTAAACCATTATTTTAAATAGTTTTCTATTATAAAGAAAGAGCCTTTTTTTTAATGAGAAAGTGCCTTTAATTTCTTTTTATCCCAATAAAAATACCTTTCTTTTTGAAAAGTTAGCATTAATCCTTTAGAAGTCTTTATGTACATGTCATTCACATAGAGCTCTAAATGTTTTGCTTCACTGACAACAATCAATTTTGATAAAACATATTCATTTTGATCATCTTGAGATTCAATTTGTAGCTCACAAGCTATTGTTTCATGGAACGCAATAGGTCGAGACAAAATCACACCATTTTTAGATGCTTGTATGCTTGCTGTAACTACTTGAGATTCTGATCTATTTATATTATATTATTTTAAAAACAAATAATCTCAACATATGTAAATGTTTTACTAAATAAAATACTGCAGTAACTCAATATATGAAATATAAAATGACTTAATAAAAATATGAAATACAAGATGATTTATTATATATATATATATATATATATATATATATATATATATATATATATATATATATATATATATATATATATATATATATATATATATATATATATATAAATCTTACCTCATTACATCACATATATCAAATATATGAAAAAGATCATCTTCAACATTTTTTTGAGACAAATCATCGGGAAAGTTCCAAGAGAAGTAGATATTAAATCCTTTAACACAAGATTCTGCCATACAAAATGTAGTAAAACAATTCACATATTATTTATTTTATGGTTTTCTAAATTTAGTATTCTAAATTAGTATACCAAGTTGTTTTTTTTAATGTTAATCTTGACAAACAAGGCCGCTGTGGGGCAGAACAAGTTGAGTACAGTACTACCAGGGACGTGGTAAGGATCAAACATGAAACTTCTCGCTTTTGAGGCGAGCACTCTGAAACTACACCACTATTGTATCTTACTACACAGAATAAATTAGTACCATGCTGTACCGACCTTAACTCATAGTTTAATAGAAAGTTTGTATGAATAAAAAATCCAAAAATACAAATGGACCTTACTAAAAATCAAAAGACCATTAACCTATTTTTTTTCCAAAAATAAATAACTGAAACTTATAAACATAAACAAAAAATAAACCAATTAACTTATAAAAACACTAAGAATAATGAATAAAGAATAATGCAAAATTTTTTGGGCTTTACTTTACTACATTAATTTGAAATAATTCAAATAACGTACAAAATTTTTTTATATTTTTTAAACTTTTTATGTTTTATGTTTGTAAACAAATCCAAATAACTTATGAATAAATAGAATATAAAACTTTAACAAAACATTTTTTTTTAATTTTACAAAACCATCATTTTATACATAAATAATTGTAATCATATTCTTTAAAAAATAACAAAAATTTAAATTAAAATAAAAAAAAAAATTCTCAATATAGCACTTGCATTCATAATGGTTTTTAACATTTATTTTATTCACAATGTTGCAAAATTTTGTGATGTAGTAAACATTTAGAATTTGTTTGTTCTAAAGGCTCGTATTATAGCCAAATTGGTAATATACATTAGGTAACAAATATACATTAGGTTGGTTCTTTGTAACCATTTACCTCGACTAAGTTACAATCATGTAAAAAAACATAAATAGTTAATAGGTGTTGCCTTGAAAGAATCTTTAATACACAAACAGACACATATTAGTTTTATTAGTAAAACTAGGTAAGTTTTATTTTGTAAGCTTGTATTTCCATTGGAGAAATATTGATTTTATTTTTTTTGTTCAGAAACTTGTGAGAATGCATTAGACTTAAAGATGTTTCTTCTAAATGTAAAATATTTAATGGATCAAAGATTTCTGCATAAGTCACCTGAAAAAAATAAAATAATATTAAACAATATTTTCTAATATTTGATGCTATTTAAATATAACCTAAAAATAAATAACTTACCTCATTTGTTAAACAAATTTTTTTAAATGCACAGTCAAATCCAATTCGATGAAGAAACAGTGCAGCAGTATCACTAGGAGCAACTCTATTGTTATCTTGTAACATTTTCAAGTTAAGCAAGTGTAAATCACAAGGTAAAGGAATTTTGAGACCAGAAAAAACTGAATTGAACTGATTAATAGGAACACTTGCAGCAACAACAAAATCATATATTGGATTTTGTAATTGATGGGATAAGGACATACTTAACATTGATGGGTAAGCAATTAGTGAAGTTTTCTAAACAATGAAATATAAATATTAAATGATTTGATGTCATTATATCATAATGGTAAAATAATGTAACATGATGACATAATACAAAAATTAAATGATATTCCATAATGGCATTATATAACAATAAAATTATGTCACATGAGATACAACAATAATAAAAGGATGTCATATGACATCATTTTACTGTTTTTGTCACACAACTATAACATTAACTGAAAAATATAAATTATTTTAATAAAGATCTATTTACTTAGGAAAAATCTTACCTCTGGTGGAGGGTTCTCAAAATTTTCTAGAATAAGTCTAAAAGCTGACAGAGTCACCCTGTTGTCCATGACACCTTGTCCTAATCCCCGGTTATCATCTTGATTCAATTTTCTATCTAATACAACTTCAATAAAACCTGGAGAAAAAAAAAAAGTTATTTAATATCTATATATATTTATTATTATAACATAATAAGTATTTATATAAACTGTTTGATTGGTTTCTATATATTTTGATAACACAAACCAATATTAAAAAACTTTTAAATTTTTTTTAGACCAATTCAATTCGTGTATTTTTGGGTGCTGAAACCATATTTGTATCAGTTTTTTGTTTTATTATGCACAGTTCTCTCACAATATGACAAAATATTTAAAAATATGGAAACAATTATTTTACTTACTTTTAAACTACTACAAAATTTTATTTTTAATAATTCATAATATATTTAATGTTATTAAGAAAATTTTTTTGTGATGAATAAAAACTGCGCGACACATAAGCACAACGTGATTTTTGACGACATTAAATTATTTTCATTTGCTTTTCATATTTTTCAACATTAACAGCACCAATTTACTTAATTACCGCAAAACTACTTTAAATCATTAATGCAGAAATGTTATTATTTAAAAATGTTTTGGAATGTTTTATTTTTTAAAATGTAAAAACATTTGTTTATTTTCTTGACGTTTGACATGTTTTGTCTATACTAAACAAATAAAAAACATAATAACTAAACATTTAAAAAAGATTATAAAATATGCTAATATTTGATTTTTTTTTTTTTTTTCAAATATGTAATTTAAAGTTTTTCAAAAAATTATTTTTTCTTTTTAAAAAGTCAGCGAGTAATAAACTGGAAATTTTAATATTGTACGATTAAAAACTGTGCAATAGCTAATATTTTTACTAGCAATTTTATATAATACTTTTTTATTTATTTTCATAAAGCGGTTGATAAGCACAATCACTCGTATTACTAAAAAACTTTAACGAACGTTTTGAATAGATTTTTAATGTTTACAAGGAATTTTATTTTTGGTAAAATAAAATAAAATAAAATGTTAGAATAAAAATCTTATAGGTATAAAAAACATATTTCAGCGAAAAAATTATTCTTGAAAATTATTCGAAAAACTATTGACATTCTATTTTTCAGCAGCTGTTCTTGAGTATGCTTCGTTGAGTTTCAGTAACTTTTAACAAAAAAGTGTTTGTTATTATTTAAGTAATTTTTTTCGAGTTACTTTTTACAAAAATTTTAATAGCTGTACTTTTTTATTGAATCAAGTAGAATACGTTTTAATATCAATCCTTTTAGATTTTTATTTGCATTACCAATTTTTAAAATATTTCCTCGAAATTACTCTTAAATACTTTTAATACGTCTAACAGTTAATAAATATTTTTAAATCTATGGAATAATTTTAAAATCTAACAAACCCCCGTAAAATAATTATTTAAGTTAAAAATCTAAAACTAAAAGAAAGTATTTTTGTTCAATTTTATCGCCAACTTTGCTATTGCTGAATAATTTTATTAAAATGTTAGCTTAAAAAGATTTAAACTTTTTTTTTAATCTGATTTTTTTCTACTTGTAAATAAAGAGCATATTTAATTTTTTTATAATTCAAACTTTTATATCAACTGCGTGCGGTTTTTAAAATACTTTATTAAATCTTAAAATAATCGTAAATTACTTCATAAAAATTCTGCTCAAAAATATCTTTAAGTATACTCAAACAAAAAATTTTTTGCTCGACGCAAATATCCCTAGCTACACGCAAAATCGCTCTTGGACGACGTAAAATTCACATCGCCCGACGCTTTATCGCAAGGCCTGGTATTGATATTTTTTTTACGCTTAAAAATACTTAAAAATCACTTAAAAAGTAACACATATTAAACTTTTTTTTTTTCAAAAGTAAAAAGTTTAAAAGATGTAATAAAAACTTTTCCAACTAATATTTTAAATCTATTAAGTCTCCAATCCCTCTTCTTGTACTCAACACTTAACATATGAGGTGTGTTCAAAAATTAAGGTGACTTTGTATTTTTAAGAAAAAATATTTACTTATTTATCAATATTTATTTTGTCCCCTTCAAAATAATCCCCCTCAGATACATTACACTTATGCTATCGGTTTTTCCAATCCTCAAAACACTTCTCATAAGCACTTTTCGGTAAAGCCTTGAGCTCTTCCAGCGATGCAGTCTTGATCTCTTCAATCGTTGCAAATCTGCGTCCTTTCATAGGTCTCTTTAGATTTGGGAACAAGAAAAAGTCACATAGGGCCAAATCCGTTGAATATGGTGGCTGAGGCATGATTGTGGTGTTGTTTTTGGCCAAAAAATCTCTCACAAGCAAAGATGAGTGAGCAGGGGCATTATTGTGATGCAAAAGCCATGAATTGTTTTTCCACAATTCTGGACGTTTTCTTTGTATTGCTTCTTGCAAACGGCGCATAACTTCAAGATAATACTGTTTATTGACCGTACAACCATATGGTAAGAACTCCTGATGCACCACGCCATGGTAATCCAAGAAAACAGTGAGCAAAACTTTGACATTTGATCGAACTTGGCATGCTTTTTTTGGTCTTGGCTCACCTAGGCTCTTCCATTGGGACGATTGGGCTTTGGTTTCGATATCATAACCATATATCCATGATTCGTCACCAGTTATGACCCTTTTGAGTAAACCTGGGTCGTCATTGAGGTCATTCAACAGATTTTGAGCGATGCTCATGCAACGATTCATTTGGTCAAAATTGAGCAATTTTGGAACAAACTTTGCTGACACACGTCTCATGCCCAGAATGTTAGAAAAAATTTCATGGTACGAGCCAAGCGATATACCAACATCATCAGCAACTTCTCTGATAGTGATTCGACAATTTTCCAAAACAATTTTCTTCACTGCTTGAACGTTTTCATCAGTTGTTGACGTGGTTGGGCGCCCAGAGCGAGGCTCATCATTGGCATCTTCCCGGCCATCTTGAAAAAGTTTGTACCACTTGTAAACATTTTTTTTACTTTTTTACTCACTTCACTGTATGCCACTATCAACATTTCAAGTGTTTTGGAGCACTTTATTTTATTTTTACACAAAATTTGATGCAAATCCTTTGATCCATATTTTTCGATAGCAAAAAATCGCCAAGCACGCAAAACACTTATAACCTTTACGCCTCTCACAACCAAACAAAAAATGCTATACACTTGAAACTTGGTACAGATGTTCGGGAAGAGTGTACCAACATGACAAAACAAAAAAATCGATAATCGAAAGTATGCTGCCCGCAAAATTTGAAAAGTCACCTTAATTTTTGAACACACCTCGTATTCATTAGACTGTCAATATTATCAAGTCTTCAATCGTTCTTCTTGTACTCAACATTAAAAACATTTATTAGAGTGTCAATATTATAACAGAATACTTAGCTAATACTAGCGCCTGTGGAATTCGGTAAACAGATTCCACAAACATTTTCAGATCCCAATAAACATTTTTCATTTAAAACCAAGTAAACTTGTTTTTAGCCAAACTTCAGCAATTTTTAGATGAAAAAAGATAGACAACTTCTATTTAGAAGTACAATCAGAAACATCAATGCTATAAAAATAAAAATCATAATTTTTGATCTTTTCATACTATGAATTGATGATTTCATACAAAATCTAAAAACTTTCTTCTTTTTCTTATATCATTTCTAAAGATAATTGGCGCAAACCTAATAAACATTGTAAAGAACCCAACATTTAGTGATTATCAATATCTACACCAAAATATACTTTTTTTCGCTAAGTCAATAATGTCCCAAAGTCACATATATAACAAAAAGTATTTTTAAAATACATATGCAACATAAAAAATTTTACAACCATAATTAGCATAATAATCATAATTAGCATAGTTATCATAATTAGCCATACTTAGAGTGTAAACTAAAAGCGCAAAAATTAAACACCACAATATTTATATGAAAGAAAACAAACAGTTATTTACCAGAACTACCAACCGAATATCAATTGATTTTGAGAAAATTATTGAAAAACTCTTTCTATTGTTAGTCTGTGTATCAGACTGACTTTTTTTATATTTAAAAATAGTAAAAAATGTTCTTCAACATGCCAAAGTATAATTCAGGGGAAAGAAACAAGGCTAGTGAGTGGAATGAAGTGACCATATTAGGTGACTAACCAAATAGAATAATATGTAACTATTGCTAAGAGATAATAATTAAAAAAATAGAGAGAGTTAAGATTTGGATAAATGCTGAAGAAAGAAAAAAGAAAGTGCTGATGATTCTGCTGAAGTATTTAGCAATATATTAGTTTTAGAGTCAAGACCATCTACACCTGCAGCATCAAGTAATTCTAACCAGTCAGAAGATAAAGAGCAAGACTGTTAAAGATTTATTAGTGACTCTTCTTACTCACCAACAGCAAATATCCATTCATAAACTTGTTTCTACAACAACAACTAATTAGAAGGATGAAATGGGTTTGCAAGTTGTAAGGTTTTTTTGTTCAGCAAATATATCATTTAAGGTAGTAGAAAATCTTGAATTTACAAATCTGCTTACAAAACTTAGACCTGCATAGAAGCCACTAAACAGAAAACAGGTATCTTAAGAACTCTCAGTAAAGATAAATGAAAAAGTAATCAATTTAATGAAAAAATGATCTTGCTAATGATTGTACTGTTATCCTAATTCAAAATGGTTGGAGTAAAGTCAGTAATCAACCTATAATAGCTCATAATGGATACTATGGAATTAAATAAAGTTGGAATTATGTTAAATTAAGTTAAGAGAAACAAATTTACAAATATTTAAGATCAAAATGCATAATTGCTGATGACTTAATTGTTATATGACTTTGTTTGAGTTTTCTCTTTTCTTTTTTTTTTTTGAAGTAAAACAAAATTTTCATTTACGACTCACTAAACTCTTTATTTTATTATTAAAGAACTATTATTTTATTATTATAAGAACAATTATTGAGCAGCATCAAATCTTGAATGGAAATTAGTTGATGATAAAAAATTACACTGCCCAAAAACGATTTTGTATCGGAACCAAAATTAGTTATTTCTTATGTATTTCCATCTGCTGAATTCAAAAATGACATATTAGCTCTAGTTTAAGAAATTAAAGCAAAAATTTACTCTCGAGGCAATGGTTTAATTAAGCGATCGCGAAATGAAAAATCCAGAAAAGTATCTGGTCTTCAAAATTTTAGTTTACGCAAAACCGTGTACTTTGTTTTCTAGGGACGAATCAACTTAAATTTGATAGGGAAAAAGTTCTAAAATATAAAATAATAAACTTACGACTGCAAAAGTAATCTCAGCAGGATTGCAGGTTCAAATCCCGGCTCCGCCTACTCAGCGTATGAGTAGTACTTTGATACGAAGGAAACTCGTCTCGATTAGCTCTGCTATTACGATGTTTCCTTTTCAACTAGTAAATAAATAATCTAGTCGAGTAAAAGAAAATAATCGTTTATAATTGTTTTAAAACTTATTAAAGAACTTAAACAACTTAGTAAAAACATACTTTATAAACAGTTTAGCGTAAAAACGCGCGTTAATATTTTTCCAGATTTTGCAAATCGCGATCGCTTAATTCAACTCTTACAAGAGTATAAACTTTCATTGTTTGATTCATGTTTAATACTTGTGATACTAGTTATGTGTGTTTGCTAAAGTTTCTGGTCTAATCTATTCCTAGTTTTTTTTTTTTCATTTACTAGTGTAAAATTTTTTAAATAACTGTTTTTACTGTTTTTAAAATATTATTAACTTTTTTCATGCATTCCCATAAAAAAATTAAAAATTAAATTCTATTTCCATGTTAATTGATTTTAAACTGTGTAAAGTTTCATTCAAACTTGAAAATATTCAAACTTTTTGATTAGAACATTTTTAGATAAAAGTTTAAAATTAAAAGAAAAAATAGTAACAATTGCTACAAGAAAAGTTTCTTTAACAACACGTTTAAATAATCTAAATGGTAATTTGATTCGATTTTCTTCTTTAATAAAAACTTAATAAATAGTTTTTGGATAATAAATAACTTTAGTTCAGTAGTTAGCACTCTTTTATAAAAAAAACTAAAACACAGGCTATACTAGGGAGTTTATTATTTTAATAACAATGATAACAATAGTTCTTTTTTACTAATCTAGTACTAAAAGCTTATTAAAAGTTTCTTAAGAGTTATATATAGAGCTTCTAGCACCAGTTTAAGAGTTATAAATAGAGCTTCTAGCACCAGTTTAAAAATAATTGATTAGTTACTAGTAATGAACTTCTTTTTAATGCTTGGAAAATGGTAAAATGTCAGTCTAGATATTGCAAAAAGAGTTAGAAGGACAGTGCCAAGACGAAGATATTTTGGAGTTAATATTTATGATAAAACTGACAATATCACGTTTAAAACCAGATTGATTCAGGTTCATGCAGTGCGCTTGATATGGTTCAATTAATGAACCAACATGTTTGAAACAACATTGATATTCTAAGTGTTTTGGAATATCGATGGAAAAAGATTTTATTGCATCTACACAGGCATCTGTATACAAGAAGTATATTTGAAAATTAGATGTTATTGGTCAATTTTGACTTAATCATGATCTACATCTTGGAGTATGTGACAAACTTTATAAAAAAAAAACATAATATTGAAGACTTAAGCAGCGCCTGTGATGATGACAATAAAACTGATTCTTTTGGCAAATGCACCAATTTTGAGGTTATAAATGATGAGTATGAAGATGGTATCGATTACAATGATTTACTTAAGACTTATGCAAGTTGATGAAATACATCAAACTGTCAAGTGTTCAATATCAAGTTTTTTACCCTAAAGTCAAGGCTCTACTTAGAAAAGAAGTTGAACTTCATTTTGATATAAATAGAACACAATACCAATAATGTTTCAGCCATTAATAAAGACAGTGTCGGCAATTGGAGAAATTTTATTAGAATTTAGAGCAGATTTAAGTATAGCCAATAATGTAGACTTCAATACCTTAATAGATTTACTATTAGCCAATAATGTAGACTTCAATACCTTAATAGGTTTACTATTAGCCAATAATATAGACTTCAATACCTTAAAAGGTTTACTAGAGACAATGAAACCTATTAAACTAACAATAGAGAATCTAACAATAGAGGAAATAAAACACTGTTAGCCGCTCATACGATAATAAAATTTATGATTGAGAATCTTTTTTTAACAGTGAAGTTAGCAAAAAATTGATTGAAAATTTGAGAATTAGAGTCGATGAACGGCTGAATACAGATTTATGTGAGGATATGAATACAGATTTTATGTGAGGATGTATTGGAAAAAGTAGTACTCTCCCGTTCTTAATACAAGAAGGGTGACGAGGAGGTGGGATAACAGATGTTTTTAAAAATTCTATTAAAATGTAAAACATCTGTTTTTTAAAAACCACTGTTTTTCAGAAACCCTATATACAACACAAAAAAATACTACCATTTTTCATGAAATGTTATGAAAAAAAATACATAAAGGAGATTACCTAAAAATCAAGCCACATTAAATGTAATAAAATTTATTTACCTTGCTCAAGACTTGCAACACCATTTGCCTGTTGTGTTTGTAGAGTAATTCTAGATTTTTTATCTTGTATAAATATCATTGAAGGTGCAGGATAAAAATTTGCTTGTAAAGGTAATTTTGCCAATGTTTTACGTCTTTGCATCTATTTTGATACAAAAATGGACACAAATTTCATAAGTGAAATTTTTAAATATTATACATATACTAAATATTATAATTAAAAGTATAAGGCCTTATTGAATCTCATTTTGAATTAAATTTTTAATTCAAAATAAAATAATAATAAATTTAACTTTAAACATTTCATCATGAAATATAAAAAAGATGTTATGAAATAAACAAGGCTGTTATGAAATATAAACAAGGCTGTTATGAAATATAAACAAGGGTGTTATGAAATATAAATAAGGGTGTTATGAAATATAAACAGGAGTGTTAGTACGGATTATTATTATCAAAAGGTGTGATTAATAATTTAAATTATATTTTAGAGGTGCTTAAGTTCTTTAAAAAGAATTTTTTTAGCTAAAATCCATAACAAACTTGTATAAATAATTCATTAATGAAAAATGTTTTATCTCTCTAATGCCTACATTACTGAACAGCTCTGTTAGTCACCTGTATGCATCACAGAAACAAACAAAATTTCTTTTTCATTTATTAATTTTTTAAAAAGTAAAGTATTTGAAGAACTAATTGAATCATTATTACTCAATTTTTTTTTTAATAAATCAAAAAAAAAAAGAAAAAACACATTTAACTTTAGTATTTAAATACAACTACTTGAATACTCAAAACTGTCGGACAAAAATAAAACTTTAAATCATTTATTTTAAACGTGATTACCTGAAACCCATTAAGATCAGTGAAAAATTCTCGATCATTATTTTGTATTTCACTTTCAATTCTCATTACAAACTCAAAATTATTAGTTTGTCTGATATCAAGAACATTACGAATATCTAATGATCGTGCTTCTAAGGTGTCTGAGTGATAAATTCTAACTTTATGTATTACATATTGAAGTCGTGTCATTACTTCTGTGTATATTGGCCCAGATGTGATTGTAATAGGTGGATTGTTTTCAACAATAGACTAAATAAAATAAATTTAAAAAAATATATAATTTTAATATTTGTTTATTGGTTTAAATTGGTACAAAAATAATATTAAAAATTTCTCGTGACATTCAAAATGTTTGTTAAAAACTAAAAATTAAAGTAATGTAAAAAATTTAAAATAAAAATTTAAATATTTAAAACTCTGTATTAGAACTTTTATCAGCTACTTGTCCAACACCTACACCTAAGTGTAAACTTAGGTGTAGATGTAGGATAACCTTAAAACTTGCTAAATAATGCTTTATAGGCTAAAAGCCTACTAAGCATCCATTTTAAAGAAATCAATACTCAGAGGTTTACTAAAGGTTGATGATTTCTTAAACAAGAAAGGTGGGTAGAAATGTTTTAACACCTAATTTTTATACTTTTAACTTATAATTTATATTATTCAATACCGTTATCTATATTTTTTCAAAACTATTTGAAGTCATTTTGTCACCAACCCAACCCTATCTTTTAGTTGAATATAGATTTGTTTGTGTGACAACCGAAGAGACCTGGATTTCACAGATAATTATAAATATTGTATTTTACTTTAATTTAATATATATTTTAATTTAAAATACCAAATGTCTTAAAACTTAAAAAAAAATTGTTATAATAAAATTATATATTTTTTGGTAGTCCAACTTTCATATTTATAATTAGTTTACATCAGAATGTAGACATTCTAATCAATAAATCAAAAATTTGGTCTTATTCAACTTTATCTTAGATTTATTAAAATTTATATAATAAGAGAACTTGCTGTTATCATACTTTTAATTTAACTCAAATATAACTAAATACTTTAAAAACTATTTATGTTATATTAGGCCAGTCAAATCTTTGAAATCCAAGATAGCGTCCAAGATGACACCCAAATTACAGTTTGTAATATCTGAGCTTGTAGATCACTTAGAAACATGATTCTTGTGTCTAATATTTCGTTCATGAGGTTAAGAAAATAACTTCTGAACTTTTTAGTTTTATGAAAAAACAAAATGGTTGTCAAAATCCAAGATGGCAACCAAAACAGCTTTAAAATTGAAATGTTTTATATCTCAGCTTGTTGATCAAGCAATTCATTTTTCATAATTTTATTTTTGTTACTATCCAAGATGGCTGCCCAAATAGCACTTAAACTAAATATGAAAGTTTGTATAACACTTTTAAAAATAATTTTTGTGTCAAAAAAGTTATGACCAACCCATTGCTGTACTTGATGGTAGATAAAAAAATGAATATTGCTTTGCTCCGGAAACTGTTAGAGGTAATACAGCTAAATCAAATGTTTTGTGAACTGGTTTTGTTGCTACTCTGCGAAGATACTCATCATTACAAAATTTACTAAGTAAAATTAACTTGGTTTGCGATCCATATAGTGCTACGTAAAATTGTTCTTTGGCATGAGCAATTTCATTGTGTTTGGCTTCTGGTGTGTTAAATACATCAATGACTTTGCATAAATCCACATTGTTATGCAACAATTTGAAGGTTTTTTTTTTGCCTTGATGATAAGGAAATGATGTTGAATCACATCCAGACATTGCATATAAAAACAATAACTGCCTAGAGCAGTCACCAAAACCTTCTCTCAGCTTGCTCGCACTGTAAACTTTGCCTTGCTTAGTATCTTTTCCAGGCTTCATCATGAAAATACTAGTAGCTGAAAATGTTAGAGCCGCAAGTAATACTAGCAGATCTGTGTCTTCTCTTATAATTACAACAGGTTCATTGAAACCATGTCTTGACAAATTAATTGCTGTATTTATAATTAGTGTATCCACATCCTCTAGTGCCTGTTTAACATGAATTCCAGAATCTGCAAGGCACACTAATAAAGCTTAAACCAATCTAGTTTTGTTTTAATAAAGCTTAAATCAATCTAGTTTTGAGAATTTAAAAGAAAATTTGCATGGATTGAATTAACTGTCATTGATTTGTCAAAAATAAAATCTGCTGAAACTGCTTTGGACTGGCATTGTCTGTGTTCCTCTGATTTAGTATTAGGTAGACTATCAGAATAGCCATCAAAAACAACCCAACAGTTTTTCCCATATTAATGTAGCATATACGATACATAACCTATATATATATATATATATATATATATATATATATATATATATATATATATATATATATATATATATATATATATATATATATACATATATATATATATATATATATATATATATATATATATATCTTTATATATTGCTGGTCTCATCCATACAATGTGGTGAAGTAGATACTCTCCATCAATGACAAATTTTGAGACAGGTGTTGTTTTGTTGCATGGCACAATTGATTCTATTGTATCACATAGAATATGAATCATCGCCTACTTCACCGTTGGAAAGAGATATCATTTCCAGTCAATTTCTTGCCTCAATTCACGCAATTCAACATGTTGCTCTGATGACCCAAAAGTGATACCGCAAAAATCTTCATTACCTAATGTCTTCATTGATTTCATAAGTACCTGCTCTATGGTCATGTGAGTCCAAATGTCAGCCCAAAATTTATGTGTTCGGCAAATGGTGAAACACCCGTCATTTGTAAATTTTGAGTATTCTTCTAGAGACATTCTAAAGTTAAGCAACATCTGTTAAAAATATAAATAAGTAATTTCCAGTTTATGCTGCAACGTTTGAAGCCTCCAAGGAATTACAGTTGAGAAATAATGACTTATTAGCGTGTTGTGGACCGTGTGTTCTAAGCCGCAAAGGAATTAACATTATAATATAGTTTATGTTGTAATTAGTTTTTTAGATTCGCAGTCAGTTGGTGAGAAATGAAATAAAAGTAGTTTCTTTAGTGTTTCAGAGGACAAGAATAAATTCTTCATAATTGTAATTAATATGATTATTTATAAATTAACTTATTTTAGATTTCAGTTTAGAAACTTAGAATTCATCAGAGAACAAACTTCACTCATTAAACAGTTAAAAATTGCTACATTAAATCTTCTACATTAATTTTAATATACAACAAATATAACATAATAAAATAACAAATAATTTCTAATTGCAAATGGATATGAGCTCACAACATTGTAAGTATATTTAAAAGTGTAAAGTGTACTTTAAAATTTTTTTTAGCCGCCATGTTTTAGCTGTTTAGCTCAAAAATAAAAAATGTCAAAAATGAATTTCTTGACCTCAAAAACATACTAGATGCAAGAATCATATTTCTAAATCATTTACAGGCTGATATACTACAAATATCATTTTGGACCCCATCTTGGATTACAGACACAGCTTCAGTCCGAATTTGGTCGATTTTATCCAAAATTAATAAGGAGTGCATGCTGAACATTTTAAGCAACTTTCAGCTTGTTCCTAATTTTTTTTGGGTAAGATGACTTTTTTCGCTAATTTTACTGAGCTATGTAAAATATCCCTTCACCAGTGGCATGCTGACACCAGAGGCTATGCAGAAATCCAGAAAAGGCCATAAGTATCATATCTTCATGATAATTCCAATAATAACATATTGTGGAATTGTAAGTTTAAAAAAAACTAGCAACCAAATAAATAAAATCATAAAATTAGAAGCTAGAGTTGTTGCAATAATTTCGAACACATATTATTAATGTAGTCACTGTTTCATTAATAGACGAAATTCTCAAAAAAAGAGCTTGCATATTAGTATATAAATGTTAGATTGGGACCATGTGTTGTAATTTTAAAAACTATTTTACATTACAAAAACACTCAAAACAAACACCCAACAATAATCTTTCTGTTGTTATTCTAAAGAGAAAAACTTGCACAAAAAAGTCATTTTCTTACGCAGATGCTGTTTTTTACAATAATTTAACAAAAGAGGCAAAAAGTGCAAAAAACATAACTTTATTTAAATCACTTTTATAAAATTTGTTAATATTATTATATTTATATTTGTTAATATTATTATACTTATATTTGTTAATATTATTTATATTTATATTTGTTAATATTATTATATTTATATTTGTTAATATTATTATATTTATATTTGTTAATATTATTATATTTATATTTGTTAATATTATTATATTTATATTTGTTAATATTATTATATTTATATTTGTTAATATTATTATATTTATATTTGTTAATATTATTATATTTATATTTGTTAATATTATTATATTTATATCTTATACTTTTAGTCATATATATTTTTAATGTTAATTTTAATTTTTTTTCACGACACATATTGATAGCAGTTTTTTTATATTACTGAAATGTATATCGTGTTAAAATATTCATTTAAAAAAAAAATTTAAGAATATAGTTCCATTAATAAACGTAATTACCATTAAACTAATTAAAGTTTCTTTTTTTTTTTTTAAATGGAAATTCCAAGTTAACATGTTGAAAGTGATTTCAAAGCATGAAAATTATTTTATAATATATATATATATATAAAAAAAAAGATTCTGACTCATGCTTTTAAACATTTTGTATAAACACCATAAATACCATTTAAAAGATTTGTATAAACGCAAATATCATTTAAATTGTCTCGTATAACCTTTCTTGTTTTATTTAAATAATAACGCATGCATTTTTCAGAATAAAAGATAAACACATAAAAAGTTCTAGTTTTAGAAGTTATTAGACAAATTTATTTCAAATAAAACTTGGTATATATTAATCATAATATTAATAAAGTATTTATAATTCCTAGATTATCGATTGTTTAATTACTTAACATTATAAAAATAATTTTCAACAAAAATATTTTTTTAGCAATAAAACATTGTGCAATAAAAATTATCCATTAATTTTTCAATATTCTAAATTATTCAACATTTACATCTCCTAAACATTCAATCTTAGTTTGTAATCGATCACTATTAGATTTTTAATATTACATTTGTAATCAATGATTATTACATTTTTAAGCAACAATGTCAATGCTGATAAAAACCAGTAAATGTTTAACAATCTGTTGACATTAATAAAAAAAAATTAAAAAACAAGATCAGAAAATTTTTTTTTTTTAATTATCGCATCCTCAAGCTAAATGAGTTGATGTAGTAGCACTGCTTGCACGTTTTACCTATTTAAGTCAGTCCAAGAATGTATACCCCTTGCATATTTTACATACTTAAGCCAATCAACGTATGTAAACTCCTTACATGTTCTATACAATTCTACTTGTTTGCAAGAATATATTTTAGTTTGAATCATAAAAAATTATTATACTGAATAACTGAAAAGTAGGAAAACTTTTTTTTAATCACCATGCTGATAAACTAAAAAAAAGGAAAAAAAAAAAAACTTCAAAAACTTTAGTTTCATTGAGTATAATAAATATGAAGAAAAATAAATGAATTCTTTTGAAAAAATGATGTACTTGTGAACTATTGCACTGAGGTTGTTGAAATTTTTTGGAAATTACTTTAAAAACAATTTACTATACCGTGGCTTCACCACTGGGTAAAAAGAGGTATGCTCCACTTCTGTCCATATTAGCAACAGTGCCATATGACATGAAAATAATCTGCACTTTCTTAAGAACTATTCCGTCAGTAGAAAGATCAGTTAATAAGCCAGTATCTGCATCAAAAACAGCCTTTAAGTAATCATTTTTCACATAAATCTCTTTTGCATTACTAGCACTCACTTTGAATTTTTCACTAAATCAAAGTAGTTATTAAACATAGTGATAAAAAATATTTAAAAAAATTAAAAATACATTATATTAAAACAACTCTTATTATTTATAATTTAAGATGTAGCAAAAAGTTTTTTTTTTATATTTTATTCCACCCCACATAAGGATATTTTTTTTAAATGTGTTGGACTGAGGATAAGCAGAAAAAAAAGATTTTGTTTCTAATTTTTAATATAAGTACTCTTATTTTGATTCATCTTATTTGAAAAAAAAAATACTTTTGCTGTCTTCTGTAAAAATGGATAACCTCTTACTCATGCTATTTGCAAATAACATTTTTTAATATTTATTTACTAAATTTAATAAATATTTCCAAGTCTAAACGAGGTTAAATTAAAAAATGAAAGTATACAGTATAAGTTGATCCCTTATTTTGTTGAGTATTTTATAATTGTTTTGTTGCAAAAAATTCATGAAAAAAAGTTTGCAAATGGAAAATTGCAATTTTGGAGAACTTTCATATTTTCAATGGTCAAAACAGATGTAAACTACGACTCTACATTAATAACCTTAAACGATTTCTTAGGAAATACTGAAAATATGATTTATACAAATATTTGCATACTTAATATTTAATTTTAACTTTAAGCCCATTGTTATTTTCAGAATCTTAATCAAATCATAATGTTTTGATATGTGCAAGTTCCTTAAATTTATAGGTGATCCATTAGTTTAGTTTATGGCAAATTCAAATTACCTAGTTCATTGTTGTTCCTTCAACCTATATTAAACTGATTGACCAAATAATTTTTAATTGAAGTCTTTTACTAATATCCAGTATTTTTTTGAAACTAATTTCAGAATTAAGATTTTGAGGTCATAGTTGAGATAAAAACAAAATAAAGACATATTTAAAAGTTTCAATATCCCTAAATTCCAGAACAGGTAAAGTAATCACCATGAAACAATTATTATATTTTAATAATTTTGGATTTAATTTTTTAATAATCTTATTTTCAAAAAATAAATTGATTTAATAGTTAAATATTTAACTTTTTTTTTTTTCTTCTAATAATTTAATTGTATTTACTAATTCGATTTAATAATTTGATTGTAACTTAACTTTTATAATAGTTGTTTTCCATTCTGAGACCTTACATAGTTGTATGCATACTTTTTGTTTTTGTTAATCTATTTTTTGTTTTTTAAGTTTTTGTTTGATGATATATTTGTTTTACATCTTTATTCATATTAGTGTTTATAAAACAATGTATTTTTTTATTTTATTAGTATTGTAAGTACCATTTAGGTACATTGTCTGTCTTATTTGTTTTGAAATTTTCCTCTATTAATCTTTATTTTTGTCATGAAAACTGTCAAAATATGCTTCATTTGATAAATAATTTGATTGCAACTCAACTTTTATACTAGTTGTTTAAGACTAAACTTAAACAAAATGTAATGTTTAAAAAAAAAAAAAGAATTGCAAACTTGCTTGATAGTCGGCTGATTAATATTGTGAGTTGTTGTAACAGATAAGTATGACGTATTTGATGTAACTGCACGAGAAATAAAATACTTTGATAAACCAAGCGCTGGGATAATAGCAACAAATGAAACTTCATATTTTGCATTATGAGCAGAAAGACTGTCTTTCCATAATAGACTGACTTGATATGGAATAGCTTCACCAGTAAAACTTTTAACCTAAAAAAACAATTTACTGATTACTGATAATACTGATACAATAAAAAATACTCTATTATGTCTATTCTATGTTGTAGCTTGTTATAGTTTTTTATTACACTTAATTTTTTTTGTTTTTGTTTTTAAATTGAAAAAAATGAATTAACTTTAACAGGGATGCGGAGTCCCAAACATTGTCTTTTTTAAGGTCTCTGGTGTCCAGAAGCTTCAAACATGTCAGTTGATTAATGATCTGCTATAAAAAAAAAAGTTATGATATTTAATGACTTGGAACTTATTGTTTTTAAGCCCGGAGTCCTGGTGTCACGTAGTCCTTGCAGCCATTATTCCTACGGACTCCAGGTTAAAAAATTGATTGTTCTTCTGACCTATAAATCTTGATTTTTTTCCCCATTAGTAGCCCATAAGTTTTTTTATATTTTTAAAGCTTCTGAATACCAAAAACTAGAAAGAAGTTATATTTTTATGACTTTCAAATCTGGAGTCCTTTTTGTGACTCCGCATCCCTGAATTTTAAAAATAGGGATCATCTTGTATAAATTATTTAATTTATCGCCTTATTTTTTTTTATTTCTTATTTTTAATTTTATTAAGTATTTGCCTTGCAACTCATGATAGTGTAGTTTGTTTACGATTTGTTTTTCTCCATAAGAAAATTTTAAATTATACTATTGAAAAGAAAAGTCAAAGACTCAAAATTTATATTATTTTATTGAAAAGAAAAAGAAGTTTAAGACTCAAAATTTAAATGATTACAATATATTATAAATTTTTTTTTAATAAAAATATGTTTTCATACTTCTACTAACGGTTCAGAAACATGCAAGAAGACAGTCTGCTTGCGTTCTTGTGCAAGAGAATTAAAAAAAACAACTTGTGAAGGTTTGTCTGATATAATAATAAGATTTTTTATAGGCAATGAATCAAACGACATTCGATTTTCACCAAACAAAAAAATTTGAGTATCGCCAATGGAATCAGAATACTGAAAATTTTTGTGAGTCAATAAAAAGTTTGCAGAAGATTCCATAACTTTAATGCTAGATTTAATTGCATCAAACATTTTCTGACCAAAATCATTAACTACTGGATTCTTTGAAGTACCTGTGACTCCATCATGGTGCTGAAATAATGCAAGAGATTTTCTGGCATGCATAAGTTCAGAATACAAATTATCTTCTGGAAATTGTTGTGTATTTTTATGGTAACTTTTTGCAAGAGAATAAATAATTTCTGCAGCCCTGTAAGTAAAAAACAAAAATTAACCACAAGTTCTTCAAAGTAATATACTATATGAATAAAGAAAAAGAAAGTTTGCATACAATGCATATTTTACCAAAAAATATATTTGTTAAATCTAAACTTAACTGCAAAAAAAAATTTCAAAATTTTTCAAAATAATTTTTCTTTTTGTAAGAAAGATGACCACCTAGTCATTTTCACAGCACTTAGGTCTGCATAATTTCTAATAAAAATCCTTTATAATTTTCTTTAGTAGTTATATCTATTCATCTTTTTATTTACTAGCAGAAAGTGTTTGTTTATATTTTTTTGTTACTTATTTCAATTTTATTTCTTTGTTTTTTTATTCTTTTTTGTTCTATTCTATAATTTTGTAACTTTAAAATTGACAAACTTTTAGTTTGTCAATATTTAAAACAGTAGTATATATATACAATATATATACAATATATATACAATATATATACAATATATATACAATATATATACAATATATATACAATATATATACAATATATATACAATATATAAATATATACACTTATTATAACTGTTTAAAAATTTTACTAATTTTCTTATTATTTTTTTTTTTTCTTTAGTTCTGCATTTGCCATTATTAGTTGACCTACTGTTGAAATGGTAGCGGGTCATTAAAGCAAATATTTTCTTTATAATTTTTTCTTTTCAATACAGCCTGGTTTTTTTTACAATACAGCCTGGTTTTTATCTTTGTTTTTAAAATGTATTAAATTAACTTTTTCTTAATAATTTAAATTAATATTTTATCAACAATTTTATTTGCCTGGTAGCATTACAAAACCAGTTTAAGGATTTTATTTCTAATTTGTGCTGCTATGTTGTTTTTGTCATTAGCAATAATAAATGTAATAAATCATAATGAAATGTTGTATATCTTTTTAACCTTTTTTAAACCTCTATATCATTAAAGTGTCTTTAAAGATTTCATGATTGAGGATTACATTCACTGTTTAATGCTAGTCATACTTGCTGAGCAGGTAGCTCTTCATTAAGTTAAATTTACAATTAATCATAGTGATCAAATTTTTGCTAATTATGATTTGCCTTTTGATCAGTTTTAAAATTATGTCCCAGAAAATAATAAAGAGAATGTTTAGGTGATGAAGCGAATCGAGTTATTAAGCAGTTAGTGAGCATAGATTATATAAAGAATAAGTAATTAAATGTTTAATGTGGAACAGAATTACCATGACCCATATTATGGGTCCAGACAGTTAATAATTTTTTAGTTATTGTTTTTAAAAACCAATTTTAATTAATTTAGTTTTCAAGTTTTCAAAACTATCAACACCAAGAAAAATAAATTGAACAACTTTTTATTTGCAAAAAATAATAACTTATTTTAAAATAAATAATATAACTTATTAAAATATAATAATAGTAACTTATTATAAAATAAAACCACAATTTATTTTTTATTCTGGTTTTTAAACTTGCAAATAAATAATCAGTATTTTATACTTTTAATGAATAAAGATAAAAGCCTAAATTCACCCTTCATCTATCTCTCTTTTTTTTTTCTTTTTTTTTTTGATGAATATTTAAACCATCAATAATTTTTTTTTATCAACTTAGTTTTAAGCATTTAAAATGTAATACTTAAAAATAATCTGAGAAGAGTTTTAACTTGGTTTAAAAAGTAGTTACTACTTTTTTGATCTTATTTTAAATAGTACAAACAAATTATTTTAAATCTATTTTAAACCAAGATATTCCCTGGTAGTGTTTCATCAAACAAATTTTATAAAACCGTTTTTAAACCAAGTTAAAACTCTTCTCAGATTATCTTTAAGCATTACATTTTAAATGTATAAAACATAATGACTGGATGACAACACATGTTTACACTCATTTACTATTACCATACATTTAAAACAAAAGAGCAAAACCATCAAAATTATTAATATTGAATACATATTCCTAATTTATATTTTTTATTTACATATTTTATATTTTAATAATTTACTTGAAATTTTTTAGAATTAAGTTAATAAAATGATACCTAAGATGTCCGGTCAACTCTCGGTCCATATGCTTAAAAAAAGATCTAGAAGTAAAATAACCACTCCAATAGTGGTCATCGCGATCTGCGTAAGTAAAAAAATCTCCTCCAAGTGTTTTAAAACTTGGTGGTTTTTCACCTGGTTTCACACCTTCTCGTTCAGCAACTGCTTCAAAATAGTCCTTTAAAGTGCCAAACCGAATCTCTGCATTAAGCTCAGGATGCGAGTTTACATATTCCATGATTTTTTCATAGTTTGTATATTGTGCTAAAACTTCAAAAACTTTGTCATATCGAAAATCATCACCTAATGGAGCTAGCACCACATTTGATCTGTAAAGTTGTGCTTTTTTTTTATATTGATCTAAAAGTGTTTCTGAACGCTCTTTAACATTATCATCCTGAATCTCTCTGGGAGGTATATGCCAAGGGCAATACACACCTCCACCAGGAAGTCTTTTAAAATCAAACTGACAGCAAATTTTTGGGTCAGGCCCACAAGTATGAGGAACATCATAGCTGTAGAATGGCATTACATGTGTAAAAATATCAGTTGTTGAACCATGATCTTCCAAAAAAAAAAAAGTCTTGTTTACAAAGAAATAGCTAAAGTATTTAAGCAATTTTTTAACATAATTAACAAATAAATATATAAGCATGGAAAAACACAAAACTTCAATTAAAGTAATTTAAAATTTTTACCCCAATTTTGTCTCCACATAAACTCTAAATTTTTATTTTCTGCAAGATATTTTTTTATTCTGTAATGCACTCTTTGGATCAACATACTTTCAAATCCCATTCTTTTTAAAATATATGCCATGGTCGGAGAATAACCAAAAGGATCAATAGACCAGCTATTTTTAGGTTTAATTCCTGAAATCAAATAAAAACCACTTTATAAAAAAACAATTAACTAAAAACAAGCCAGATAAATGAAAAAAGTAATGAAAGAAATAGAAATTGATTTTTCTAATTTATAAATTATAAAATTAAATTTATAATTATTTTTTAGAAAATTTTAATTTTATGTTAGGAATAAATTACTGAAAATTTAATTTATTTTTGATTAATTTTAACTAATTTTGTTTAAATCATTTTTGTCTAAAATTAAAATTATTTAGTCAAGCATATAAAAGCAAAACTTTTTAAATGATTTTTAAAATCAAAAAATGTAAGTTTTATGAAAGTTGCAACCATTTCTTTAGCTTATGCTATCCATAGTTCTTAATTTTAAAATTGTCAATTTATGAACTTTACAATTTTCCTTTTTTTATATTATCTAAACTGATTAGATTAAAAACAATTTATTGATAATTTAAAACAATTTAGTGATAATACTGTTATAATATTTAGGCTAATTGTATCAACGATGCTCCTTTAGACTAATAATTCTCCTTTAGACAAGGTCCAATAAAATATTGTAAATGTAGTTAACTCCAATTTTTTAACATAAATGAAGCTAACTTGCAAATTTTTTAATGTTCTTTTTAAAAAAATATGAAGTGAATTGATTGAAACTGCAGTAATTTCCAGAATGGTGGATACTTTTATTTAAATGACTAAAAAACCAAATTTGAAAAAATTGAATTAATCGCATTAAAAATGAGGGATGTACTGAAAATTTGGCTTGGGCTGAAGCCATGGGTATTGTTTGTTAAATCATCCGGTTCAGCAAACTATTTTTTGGTAATTAAAATTACTTAAGCTTGGTTTTCAATAATTTAAAACAGTTGTGAAATTTTGTTGTATACCAACTTTTGGAGGAATTAATCTGTTTCTTTTTCCACAACAATTGATTACAACATAAAACTCATTACACAACCAATGTTGCATAACTTACACTTGTTTTCATTCTAAACAAATTTGTTGTGCAACTGTTGACATTCTCACAACTATTAGAAACACAAAGTTAAACAACTGCTATATTATTTATTACATTAATTATTATTACAATTTATGATATAATTATAATTATATTTATTTATTTACATCAAATAATACAATTTAATTTATTTTAATTTATCACTTATTTATTACAATAATTCTTTAGTCTTGATAGTAGAGATCAGGGATGAGGAGTCCCAAAAATGACTCTGGATTTGAAAGTCACAAAAAGATTACTTCTTTCTAGTTTTTGGTATCTAGGAGCTTTAAAAACATAAAAAAGCTTATGGGTTACTAATGGGGAAAAAATCAAAACTTATAGGTCAGAAGAACAATCAATTTTTTAACCCAGAGTCCTTAGGTATAATGGTGGCAAGGACTCCAGGACTTTGGGCTTAAAAGCAATAAGTTCCAAGTCATTAAATATCATAAATTTTTTCTTACAGCAGATAATTAATCAACCAAGATGGTTTAGAGATTCTGGACACTAAAGACCATTAAAAAATAAAGTTGTAAAGTCAGTTCTTTTGGGACCCTGGTAGAGATTGAATATTATTAATCAGCCTAGAAAAAAAAGTGGGTCAACAGTCAACAGCAAGTAAAAAAAAATTTTAACTTGCCAATTTATTTGCCACGTTGCATAAGCATTTATTATAAATGTTTACGCAACCCGGGTCACACACCTGGCCCCGGTTATATTTTATTAAACACGGCCCTGGCCCCGGTCAAATATCAAACCCGGTTGTTTACTATTGGTATAAAGATACTTTAAAAATGTAAAGAGGCATTTAGATTGCATTTAGGAAAAAAATAAAACTATTAGGTTAGCGGAAAAATCAAATTTTGAACCCAGAGTCTTTATGATGGCAAGGATTCTAGGATTCCAGGACTCCAAGCTAAAAAAAAACAATAGATTTCAAGTCATCAAATCTCATGAATTTTTTTTATTGCAAATTATATCACTTAACATTTTTAAAGCTTCTTGACACCAGTGAAACAAGAAAAAATAGAAATTTAAAGCCAAACTCTTTTTTTTACCTTATCCCTGATAATAAAAAATAGTATATTTGAAAATAAATAAAAATTTCAATTATACTATTTTTTATTATCAAATTTATTATCAATATTTTTTTTTTTAAAGTTTTTTTTATCTATTATTGTATATGGATGCCATTATCAGCTTATATGTTAGATATGAAAATCATAATATTATTTAATATTAACTATTTACTTCAGATATTTTTATGTACTCTTTTCAGAAAATATATATTGATATTGATTGATTAAAAAAAATTCAATCAAGTGATGTTTTAATATAAATTAAAACAGTATGAAAAAGTAAAAACAATTACAAAATGTTTTAACCATCTCCTTCCATAGGAGGGGATTAAAACTATGTTTGGAGGCAAGGAAAAAAACAAAAACTTAGTGATATGCTTATTAAATGTTAATTCAAGTCCTGAACATTAACTTTCTATTTATATTAAACATCCTTTAATTAAAAACTAACATACCAACATGTTTTTCCATCCACTGGTGACCTTCAACCATTTGATCAATTATATTAAAGTAATGTGTATTAGCTTCATCATTCATTACCCATCCACCAGTTACTATTTCTAACTGACCATTGTGAATCAGCCTAAAAAGATAATTTTTGAATTTTTATTTTCTTTTTGATAATTTACAATGTTGTATTTGTGCACTGAATGAAATATTATACTATTTGAAATGCTATGTTAATATAATAATTTAAAATAATAATAACAACAATAATAATAATAACAATAATAATAATAATAATAATAACAATAATAATTATAATATTGATGATGATAATGTGTGTATTTATTAATACATATATGTACTCCATTTACTCTTGGAATAGCTGTTTTTTAGCAGGAGAAGCTTGATCCCACCATAATGCAGCATAAGAGGTTTCAGCCCATATAAACTTCCTATTGACATTTTTGGCAAGCGCATCGACAACATTTGATATTATCTTGACAGTTTGATCATGAAAGTATTCATCAACTGTTTTTAACCAGCCTAATAATTAAAGTAGCTTAAATTATTAATTTTTTAAACTATTTTAAAATAACAACTATATCTGGTTGACCCCTCTTTATTATGCTTATTAAAATATTAAGGACTTACTTTAAGGTAATTTTAACAAATGAAGTTTTTTTTTAAAACATTTTCGCTTCTAACAAGGCTGCAAGCAACCACTAATTAGTGTTGGAAGTTACTGGAAGAGAAAAGATGAAGATTGTAGAGCAAGATAACGATTGACAGATGACTTAAAATATTGCAAATTATATGAATCAGGAAAGCAAGATGAAGGAAGCAAATTCCAAAGAACTGATGTTTGAGGGAAAAAACACGAGAAATGAATTTTAGTAGATGGCACAAGAGACCCTAGCTCTTTAGAGCAGTGCCCATTATAGTATTTGTAGAAAAGAGAAAGAGAAGCAACATTACGACGATGTGACAAAGGTTGAAGGTTGGCTGCAAGAGCAGGTCCAGCTATGTTTACAATGCGTTTTTGCACCTTGTCTAAAAGAGAAAGGGCATCATTAGAAGATCCACCCCAGATATGGCAACAGTATTCCATATAAGGACAGATTTGAGATTTATAGAGATAGAGAATAGAATCCAGAGTTAGAAAGTGTTGAGCTCAATAAAGAGATGCAACTTAAGCAGATGCTAATTTTGCAACGGATTTGATATAAAGTTACCAAGAAAGATCAGAAGTAAGACTTAATCCTAGAAGATGAAGGGTTGATTTTAAAATTATTAGTAATAAAATAAAAAAAAATAAATAATAATAAAGATAATAACTTAATTGTTAAAGATTTAGGAAAGTATAATTTCATCATCCAATTGAATAAAATTCATTCTCGAAGTCTCAAACTTTTTGTGTAAAACTCTTGATGCATGCAACAAGTAAAAATGCAATTAAATGCAACAAGTAAAGCCTAGAATATATATTGACATAACATTCAGCCATTAAATATCAGTGTCAGTTAACTATAATAAACCAGGGTAATTTTTTAGTTTAATATAAATTAATAACTTGAAACATTCCTTAAAATTGACAATAAATTTATTTTAACTTTTTACAAATCATTTTTATTTTTCTTATTTGTAATTTAAAAAATAAATAAAACGACTATGTTCATACCAGGATCATTATGTGAATGTGGCATGACAAATACTAACAATTTTTGTTTATCAAAAGCATCTTTTCTATATTCAACTTCCCAGCCTTGCTTCCATACTCCACCATTGATATTATCAAAAGGCACTTCATCATAAACATCTGCCATCTAAAAATAATTAAAAAAACTAATTTAATTCTTAGATTTTGAAAGTTCTACATGTGTAAAACTCAAAAAAAGTTGTACGTGTAAAAAACTTACAAAATAAATATGGACTTTTAAAAGCTCAAGCATTTCATTAATTTGCTTTTTCCTATTTTTTGTTTTGTTTTGTTAACTTTGGTTTTTCCAGTTAAAAATATTTATGTATATAAGAAGGTATAGAGTATGTTACAATTTTTTTAATTTAAACTCTCTCAATGAATTGAATTCTTTGACTATTTTTTTTAGAAACTAATCAAGAAATTAATCAAGAATTTTCATAAACTAATCAGGTATCTGCATAACTTTTTATAAATGAAAAAAATCTCTTACACCCTTAAACTTAAGATATTATATTTTTAAAAAAAGTTATGTGATAATATTTGCTACTGCATAAAATGATTAATGAGGTGCTGTGACAAGTTGTGTTTATTTCATAAAGTAACAAAAAATTGTAAATATATAGTATAACCTTATCACATTTAGATTGAAATTGCTTCATTAGGCTTTACTTGTGCTTTTCTGTTTATAGAGTTTTTGTAGTACATATTCTTTTTGCTTAATGCAGAATCATTTCTTTCTTGTCTTTAGAGCAGTATTTAAAAGTAATTTTTAAATTTCTTTGCTGTCTTTCTATTAATTTATGTCTGTTTCAATTTAAAATTTTTTGAACTGCTTCCATTTTATCTATATGATCTTAAACATATTTTTAAGAGAAAATCAATGTGATTGCATTTATTAGTTGTTTTGGCAAAAAAATTATTGCTTTGTTGCAACTTTTGTTTTAACCTTAAAGCGGGCGCGCCACTGTAAATTTACGTCAAAGTTATAAATTGTCTAATGAAATGTCTATAAATGTACAATTGTAAGAATAACTCATATCTGTTCCAAGAACAAGGTTTATAAGGTAAGTAGGGGGGGAGGGGCATGATTTGCTTTTTATGATTCAATATTTAGTCTGCAGCATGCCACTTGCAAATGAATGTGTTCAGAATATAGCTTAAAGCGCACGACCACTAGTGTAATTATCATGATATTTTTTATCTTATAATAAATTAGTTAGATAAATTTATTTACTTTTTAATAAATATTGTTGAAACAAACTTAATATTTTTAGAAAATATTAAATGTTACATAACAAAAAGCCTCTCACAGGAGCAGAAGTAAAAGAAGGCTTTGGCATACAGCAATGCGCTAAATATATCACTAATGAATTAGAAGCATTTTTGAAAATAATTAATCTAAATATGATAACGCAACTGTGACAAAAAAGCAAGCAATGATTGTTCAATTAAGAATTGAACATACATATTCTAGAAAACGAGATTGTCAAAAAATAACAAGAAGTGAATTTTTGGCTTATTTGGGTCTTTTATTTATGATGGTATCAAGAAGTCTCATCATGCAAATGTAAAAGAAATTTGGACAACTAACCGAATAAAAATTTGTATAGCAGTAATGAGTTTTTTATTTATAACACACTGTTTGAGGTTTGACTATAAAACCACAAGAGTTGAAAGGCAAAAAGTAGATAAACTGGCAGCCTTTCGTACATTTCTTGATGATTTCAAGGTTGCTGCAGCTAATTACTATTCCTAGCAAACTAGTAAATATGGCATCAAAATGTATGCATTGTGTAATGCTTTTTATACTTTTGATTTAGAAATTAATTCGATTGTGGAAAACAGCTAGATGGTCTGTATTAGGGTGGATCGATTTTAACTTTTGAAATTTGATTTGCCTGAGCTGCGAATCTATGTCTTTAGGTGAAAAAAGAACCTTACTTTTTTTTTTTTTAATTTAAATGAATTTTAGAGGTTCCTCTTTGGATTCTAAATTTATGATGGATCCTAATATTGTTGAAATTTTTTTTCTTCTAAACTATATCAACCTGGCACTTAAAAGAAGCAGAATAATATGCTTATTTTCAATTCAAAACTTAAGAGAAAAAAATAATGCCGTTTTTTTCATTAAAAAACCCCTGTCTTCATCAAAACGGGGGTTTTAAGGTATATTTTTGCAAATATTTTTTTCACTAAAAATTTTTTTTTAATAAAATTATTGTTGTTAAAACAAGCATTTTTTTCTGCTTTTTTGAGTCCAAGGTTGACGTAGTTTAGTTAAAAAAATTCAAAAATATTAGGATCTGTCAAGGATTTAGAATCCAAAGAGGAACCTCAAGATCTCATCAAAATCAAAAAATATTTTTTTACTTTCATGTTATAATTAATAAACATCGATTCGTGTCTCAGGAATATTGATTTTTAAACTTTTTTTTTTTTTGCTATGAAAATCGATCCACCCTAGTCTATATGCCTTGTCAAACTTACCTTGACATTGTGAAATGATTAGTTAAACCTTTAGAAAATTCTAATATAAAAATTTAATAAAAATTTGACAACAGACAATTATTATTATTAGTTAACTATAGTTAACTATTAACTAGAAAAAAAAAATTATGCTGGTTGGAACATTAGAGAAGAATAAACATAAAATTCCACCAGAATTTCTTCCTCATAAAATTAAAAAACTTCCAGTTTATTTGGATTCCAAAAAGACAAAATGATTACTTCCTATCGAAAAAATGCTGCAGTTATTTTTGACACAACACAAATGATGCCCCTAAACTAAAACAACTAAAAAACGACTAGTTATTATGGAATATAAAAGGTAAGATATTATTATGGAATATAAAAAGTATTATATTCCTTTGCTAACCAATCAAATAAAAAAATTGCACAGAAAATTAATTTTGAAAAATTTAGCACTTGTTCTAAACTTGCCATCAGATGTAAAGATATTTTTTAAAAATAAATTATGGTCTACCTAAAGAGAAAGTTGGAGAAGATTAGCAGTCTGTAAAACGCTGTACATGTTGTTCATATGCACAAGAAAGGAAAAAAACTTGGCATCAATGAAATGTAACAATTGTCAACCATTTACCTGTAAGCATCACTCTCAAACAAAAATTGCATTGATTGTGTGAATATGAATAGTCAATCTGATTTAAAAATTTTCTTATGATTGTGTTTATATATGTTATTAAAAGTATAGCAAATAAAATATTTTCTTAAACTCAATGACTTTTTTTGTTAAAATACTGTTTTTTTCATTAATTACTAATAATTCTGATAACTAATTATGTGAGTATAAAATAGTGAAAATTAGGTAAAACATAATATTTATAGCGCACATCCGCTAGTGTTAAAATAAAAAGCACACACACTTAAAGGTTAAACTTTTTTCAAGCACTGGAAATTGTACCTTTTCAATATAAAAATTACTTTCATTACATTGCTCAAACCACTTTTAACATGAACTATTGCATGTTCTTCCAAAACTTTATTTTTGAAGGCAATTTTTAATTTTGTCAGTGGCTTTTTAAAAAAAAATCAAAACAATCTAACAATGCTTCCTGCATTGTTTACATTTAAAGTACAATATTGTTTGATTTTGTGCAACAAAAAAAAAAAAAAACTTTACACAGCCAGTTTACACAAAATTCATACAGCATATTTAATGCCATCTAAATTTTTATTTCTATTTTTATTTAGAACTTTTTCAAATTCATTAAAGAACTTAAAAAATAAAACAATCATAACATTTTATGCTAAAAAAAGTTTCATTTATTCTTTTAGAATCTGCACTAGCACTATTAGTTATAGATTTTTTCACTAGAAAAACAAATAAAAAAATTATTTATACCTTAATATCAATTGTTGAGTTAAAAACACTAGTAAATAAACACAAATGATCTTCTTCTTTGTTATGACCATAAATAACTTTTTGTGGATTAAACTTTATATAAGTTCTATTTCCTATAAAAGAATAATTAAAAAAGAGTACTAAAAAATTACTAGATATAAGCAGGGTCGGGGTCAAATACGTTTTACCAAATACAACTTTGAATACGTTAATTATAGATTTCAAATACAAATTCGAATATTTGTAATTTATGTTAGGTTGTACTAGGTTATGTTCATGTTATATTAGGTTATTCAAGGCTAAGATTAGTCTATAAGCAAAATTACAATCGCTCAAGATGGATGAAGTGTCATTAATGGTCTGATGCATATGAATCAAGTCTAAACTTTTATGCATAACTGATTGTGCATTAAAAAAAAACAAGTATAGTACTGAACTCCTTTGTAATGTCATTAAAGATCTTAAAGTCTGCATAAAAGTTTAGATTTGAGTCTGTCATATGCACTGTGTGCAATAATCTATATAATAATCCATGTCTTAAAAAATTTGGATGTTTTTTTGATTAAATCCCTCATTTTTTAATCGCATTTTCATTATCTTTTACCACAGCCAATACTTCTTTGTTTTATTTTCCTTAATATCTTAAATGATCTATAACATATAACAGCACAATCTTAGGGCAGCATATTAGTTGTATTTCTTTTTTTTTTTTAAACTACTGTTTTTTACACTAAATAAGTCAAAATCCTAAATATAACTATATGAAATATTTAATACTGCTTTAAACCTCACCATTCAATCTAGGGTATAATGTAAATTATAAAAAGGCCTTTCTATATCAAACTTATTAGCAACCTTTAAAGAATTGCTGTCAGAGAAAAAGCATCAATTTTTGATTGTGTTTGACATTGACCACCACATTTTTAATGCAACTATTGTCCAGAATTGAAATTCAATTAAATGTGGAAAGAAAATGAAACGCAGTCAACTAAATAGCTCAGATAATCACAGAAACAGAACAGTTGGAAAATCATAACACAGTTTAAAAAAAAATGCTCAAGTTAACAAAGTATTTAAAATCTACAGCTAATGTAATAAAAGAACAGCAGCAACAGACGTCAAATCAAAATCAACTTTTATCAGTGGCATCAACAACAAGAGTATAAAATGATGAGGATAGAATGAACATCAAAAGTATAAATGAAGAGGATAAAATTAATAGAAAATCAACATTCATCATTGGATACATAGGATACAAAATCAATATTCATCAGTGGAGGATAAAATGAACAGAAAATCAACAATCATCAGTGGCATCAACAACAAGAGTATAAAATGAAGAAGATAAAATGAACATCAAGAGTATAAAATGATGAGGATAAAATGAACATCAAAAGTATAAAATGATGAAAATAAAATGAACAGCAAGAGTATAAAATGAAGAGGATAAAATGAACATCAAAAGTATAAATGACGAGGATAAAATGTACAGAAAATCAACATTCATCAGTGGCATCAACATCAAGAGTATAAAATGAAGAGGATAAAATGAACAGTAACACCAGATCTAGAGGTATCAGATGTAGACCTGCCTTTAACCAGTAATGTGGTGAAAAATGGTACAGAAAATGATAATTTTGAAATTACAGCCAATTGAAAAATGATCCTGGTGTATGGGATGAGTTATCTGTTGAGAATAAAGCCTTTTGAGTTGCTGCTGGACCAAAAAATTCCCAGCATCATAAAGGTCCTTTTGATGAACCATGACATGTTTTCAAGAATGGAAAATAGAAAAGTTTTGCACACCAAAATGTTTTGTAAGAAGGAAAGCTAATTACAAAGAATATCGATGTTAATGGCTTTTGTATTCTAATTGTAAAGTGACTCAATATTGCTTTGGCTGTACGCATTATTGCTTTGGCTGTATTTTGCTCTTAAATCTACTTCCTCTCAGTTTGTTTAAAGTGGACTGACAAAACATTGCCAGCATTGACAATCACAAAAAAAGTCGGCTTCACCAAGACTGCCTGCAAGCATACTTAACCACCAGACAAATATTTGATAGACAGATAAAGGAAGATTGTGAGTATTGGGAACATGTGCTGCAGCAAGTTGTTGCGTCAGGACTTGTGTTTCGAGGTACTGAAGAGAAATTTAGTTGTTGCAAAAATGGGAATTATTAGGTCTTCTGTGACTTATAAGCTAATTTGATCCATTTTTAGCAGGTTATATTTCTATGTATGGCAAATTTAGCAAAGGAAACCCTTTCTATCTTTCAAAGACAATTTGTAAAAAACTTATTGAAAAAATGACCCAAAAGTTCATTCAAGCAACCTCTGCAAAATGAATTTTAGTAAATGCACAGGTCAATATTATGACAATGAATAATATGCCAGGAAGTTACAAAAAAATGCAGCAAAAGATTATGGAAAAAAACAAATTTGCTATGTATCTATGTATCTATGTATTTATGATACCTATGTATCTTGTGCAGCCCACTTTTTAAATTTAGTTGGTCATAGTAACCAATTAAATTCAAAGAGTTTTCTACATAATACAGTTGTTCTATACATTTTTATAAAATGTCTTGATAATAAAAAGGTACTGAAATCACTTTCAGATACTAGATAGAAAGCACATACAATCGCAACTAAAACTGTTTTAATGTCTTTTCAATAAATTCTCACTGCTTTGGAGAATGTTTCTAATAATGAAAATCAAAAGGGTGACAAGAAGCAGAAAATATTGCTAACAAAATGAATTTGTTTTCTTGCTCAATATGTGAGATGAGGTCTGAAAAGATTTCCATAGAACAAGCCAGACATTTCAAAAAGAGGATATCAATCATAAAACATGAGCAGACCTGGATATATCACTAACAGACAAACTATGCATCATTCAACTGGAATTTGAAAGGATTGAGAAACTTTCAAAAGATTTGATACCCAAGGTTGACTATAAGCTAAAAAAGGAAGTTATACAGGAAGCAACAAACAAATGGCGAATATGCACAGGAAGTTGATGACAAATGATGATGGAGATGCACATGTAAGTTAAATTAAAGTTTCAACATTTTTTTGTCATCATTGATAAACTTGAAGATCAAATGCAAAGGTTAGAAAAGCTATATGGCTATTTTTATTTATAGCTCATATAGGCCCATATCTGTATCAAACTCAAAAAGTGATTAATTGAATTTTACCAAAGAGATATATACAACAACTTTGCAGCTGAGTTGCAGCAGTTTTATATGCACCTGCAAAAAAAATTACTCTTGGAGTAAAATTTTTTTTTTCTGATTTGAAAAGTTTAAAAATTGCACTAAAATAACTCCAAGCAAGAAAGCGAGTAAATAAAAAAAAAGACTAGTAATTAAAACTTAAATGAATAAGTTCAATTCTTTAAAGATTGTTTCTATGTAATGTAATTCAAATTTAAATCATTAACTTTTTATAACTGTTTATAAAAAGAAAATCCATTCAAGTTATTAAATATGCGTGTATCTATTGTTTTCACTTCAATTTATTTGTATTTAAAATACTAAATTAAAAACGCAACTATCAAAAAGTTTATTTGGTTTTAAAATAAATAGTTTGCTAGGGTTAAATTTTAAATTTTATTTTTTAAATATTTAAATAGCTTTTTAAAAACTATTAAAGCAAATTAATAAAGTGATTAGTTCTTTGTTGCTGTTGCTTTTCTTTTTTCTTTTTTTTTAACTTGGCTTTCAATAAAACTCAAATACTTGTCATTTGAACTTATTGAATTTATTTAAAAATAATTGTCAAAACATTAAAAAAAAATTTTCCATAAATAAATTTTTTACTTTAAAGATGCTCACAAAAAAATAATAAATAATTGTTTTTTTGCTTTTTTTAATATAATTGACTTAATAAAGACTTAATAAAGCCATACTTTATTTCAAATACGCTAAATGCTTTTTAATATTTTTGTTTATGTGAGTAAAATAAGACTCAACCTAAAAAATATTGTTAAAATTAATAAAACATTAGTAAAATTTGTTTAAAAAAAAAAATTATTTTGTATGTTTTGTAAACTAACTTACACAAGTGCAATAGCCAACAACTGTGCACCATTCCTGTCTCTCTCTTTCTCCCTCTCTCTCTCTCTCTCTCTCTCTCTCTCTCTCTATATATATATATATATATATATATATATATATATATATATATATATTATATATATATATATATATATATATATATATATATATATATATATATATATATATATATATATATATATAATATATATATATATATATAAAAATATAAATATAAATATATATATATATATATATATATATATATATATTTATATATATATAAATATAAATGATGCTGATTACTGCAATAATATTAATTACCACAAAACAAGTTGAATGTTATTTAACTTCTTACTATAAGGGAATGTTTATTATATTTTATTTTTTTATAATATTAACTAGATTTAATAAAAAAATTTTATAATAATAACTAAATTTAATATTACATTTTTAAAAATGTTCGATATTAACAAATTTCTTTCTTTTCTCGACATTTGCATAAATGAATTAAAACATGTTATATTTTTGAACTTTTAAATGATTATTTCTTAAATTTTTAATTGCTTTGCAACTACAAATGATTTTTATTTTACAAAAATTAGCGTTTACATAGATGTAGTTAAGAAGCAACTTTAATTCATTAATTTATTTTGATTACTTTATTGCTACATGAATGTTTACATAAATTTGCTATAAAAAAAAAATCTAGAAAAATAGTAACAAATAAAAAAATTACATTAATTTATTTACTTTATTTATAAAAGTTTATTATTTTATTAACGATTTTATTGTGAAAGCAAAGATTATTTTTCCAACATCATTTATTAAAATTATATTGCTGTATATATCATTTATTAAAAAATAATCGCTGTGATTTAATGTGCGTTATAAAAAAAATTTAACTTACATTTTGTACAAATTTTTGATGCAGCCACTATTTAAAATTTAATAGAGTAAAAAAAAATGTTTAGGAAGAAAACCAAAAGATATAGCGATAAAAATGAGCTCAGTTTAAGAATAAATAAAATCTAAATATTGAACAATATTTAGTAATATTTTTAATTAAATTTGACAGTTAAGTTAAACCCAAGCATTAACTAGTTTATCAACAAGCATTAATTAATTTTAATAAAACTAAATATACTTTTTAAACCAAATTAAACTATATATTTTTAATCTAAATTAAATTATTTTTTTTATCAGAACAAAATTATACATTTTTATGAAATTAGTTTAAAAAAAAAAAAATTAGTTTCAAACAAAAGAATCAAACATTACAATAAATAAAAACAAAATAAAAATAAAATTTTAATTTTATTTTAGTTTTTTTCAATAGTAAATAGTTTTGTAACAAATATTTTTATGCAATAATTATTCAAAAGTTAATGTGTTTTTATTTTAGTAATTTACTTCTTTTATCTTAATGCTTATAAAATAATTGTACTGCTTACGTAAAATCACTTAAGGGGTACATAAATCGCTTTACACGCAACGCTTTAAAACAAAGCCTGATATATATATATATATATATATATATATATATATATATATATATATATAATATATATATATATATATATATATATATATATATATGCGGTAGAACTTTTGTTATCTCGAACTGTTTTCTATAGTCCTTTGAAAACAAGAACAACTGTTTTACTTCGCTTAAGTTGAACATTCGCTTAGTCAAACTTTGATCCCTTGGAGTTAATGGGAATTTACTGAATTAAGATGTAAAAAATAAAAAATAAAATGAAACAGTTTTTTTCAATTGGCGATAACTATTCAGTATAATTGTTCCGTAATATAAGTTAAAATAATTAGTATGATAAAAAATAGGTAAAATATATAAATGCTTTGCAAAAAAAAAATTAACATATTCAAGACTTATCAGTTAAAAATATTAACAAGTTCACTTGAGAGTAAAGAAACAAATCAAAACAAAACATAGAACAAAAAAAAAAAACGCAAATTGAAATCCATAAAAATAGCTCTGAACTAGTGCAAGGCAGAATTTTCATAATCAATGACATTATAATACAAATTTTCATAATCAATGACTTTTATAATAATACGTAGAATTACAATCACTCATTTTTATAAAACAACATTATACTGTAAAACAGTATTTTTATATTGTTGCTTTATTAAAACAATTGATTATGTTATAACATTTTTATATTATCACATAGTATATTTATTTAATTAATAACTAAATTATTAAATAAATATATAAATAATTACATAAAGTTAATTAAAAGAAAAAATAAAGATAAATTCCTAAGTCATACACTAATTTGCTCCTGCCAAAGTCTATATATATAGTGCTCAAAGTGAGATAGGATAGGAGCGCACAGTGGTCATGATATTTGTTTTTAGCTCAATCATTAAAAAATGAGGTTATACAAATCTAGAAAACCAAAATAACACACTGTAAAACACCCTTAAAAGGTCAGTATTAACTTTTTTTCAGATAGGTACACATGGTCAAAATTCATGTTTTTAGGGTAACATTTCAAGCTTTATCCATTAAAAATATATGTTCATCACCATGATTGCACTATAACTTTAGAACACCAAAAAGTCACTTTAAAGCATGCAACTAAAAATTATTACAGGATTCTTATATAATTATTATAGTTATAAGACATGTTTTTATGTCAGATATTTTAGATAAGACTTATCAGTTAAAAATATTAACAAGATATATTCATAAAATATAAGGACACAAAAAAACAACTGAAAAACACTTAAAAGAAAAATTACTTTCCTAAACTAATTAATGGTCGCAATATGTTTTTGAAATATTTTTTTATGCTTCATGAATTAAAAAAGGATACACAAAGGACACTAAAGATCAAGCTGTAAAATATTTAAGGATAATTATATTAGGTAATAGTTCATGTTTTTAGGCTAAACTGACAAGCTTTATCCACTAAAACTTTTTTTAAATATATATATTTTTAATGGTTTAAAATTTCTTTTTTTAATTGTATTTCCAACCTGGAATGAAATTAAATTGTTCAGAAATTCTCTCACTTCATTGATAACAAATCATCTTCCTGATCCTTTTTTTTTTGGTGTCTATGCAAGTTTTATTAAATCTACCAAGATTACTATTGACAGAATTTTGAAGCTTAAAGATATTTTCGTTTCTTCTAGTATAAGGCTGTTTTCTAGAAAACAGCCTTATACTAGAAGCTATACTAGAAATTTGGCTACGATGGTAGTGGTAGACACAAAATTTACAACCAACTGTACAATGTTAACACAAGCAACATTATTATGGCAATGTTTTGTCTACTAAATCACAAAAGTATTGTGGGAACAGTAATACCTTAACTCAGAGTCTACCCAAAGGTCACTCATGATTCAAATGGGGAAAAAGTCAATTGAAAATTTCCAATCTCATTCTTTGTTTAACAAACACATACACTGTTTAAAGGATGATGGAATTATTGTTGAGCAAAATGAAAATCAATACCATGTTAAAGTCTGTCGCTCATAGTTTAGACAGAAAAACTTCAAATATTTATCAAGGTCTTGGAGGTTCATATTGCCCAGTGGGCACAGTATATTTTTAAAAAATATTTTAGACGCTTTTATTAAGATTATACCTAATAAAAACGTCCAAAGAACTTTTAAAAAATGTACCATGCTCACTGGGTGTGATCTTTGTGACCTTTCAAAAGAACAATGTGAAAATATACAAACAGTTCAAGATGGTTTCATCATAAACAGGGATGTTAAGTCCATTCAACAATTATTTCTTGATTTTGTAAAAGAGAATGAGAAGCAATTTGAAAAAAAAAAGGATTACAACATTTGACACGGTCAAACTACAATCTGATTGCAATGTTTGAATATTATGTCTTCAGGTTTTACATGGTTTGCTCAGGATCTTTGATCATTTAATGAAGGTAGTCCACATGGCAGGTGTCTTAGATAAACAAAAACACAACATTGCTGAAAGAAGAAAAAGTAAAATTACAAGAAACTATTCAAGTTAAAACAGGAATAAAATAGGATTTTGCAGAATCCACTAGAAAAAAGGGGAATATAACAATTGAAAATGTTGCCAGAAAACTTTTACAAAATAATGTACTGTGAAAGGTAATTACAGATCACATATCAAGTCAAACAGACCGCAAACTAGTTGAAAAGTATGGCTTGCTTCTTTCCACAATTCTGAAAGCAAAGGCATCTGACAAAAAAATTAATATTGAGCTATACAAACAAATATGTCAGAAGCTAAACATCTTGTTTTTACAAGAATTTTATTGGGTAAGTATAACTCCAATGCTGCACAAAATTCTTGCTCATAGCTGATAGAAACAAATGATTCCACCGGTTTGAAATCTTGAAGTGAAAAACGAATGGAAGCTTATAACAAGTGTCTCAGATACTTCAGGGAAAAACTATCAAAAAAATTAATCAATTGGTCAATATAGATTGCTTTAAAAGACATTGGCTGGGGTCTGATCCATTAGTTGCAGAAGAACGGATTTTTGTAACACAAGTGTATTTATCAATTTTTCAAAACAAGCTCTTAGACTTTACCCTCAAGATGGCGATTTTATAACTGTTGCAATGCCTCATCAGATGGCGATTTTATACCTCAAGATGGCAATTTTATTTCTGTTGCAATGCCTCATCAGCGGTTTTTTTCCAAAAACTACTGATGAGGCATTGCAACAAATGAAAGCTTTTATTTTGTAGTAGCAGTTTTTGAGGTATTGACTGAAATGTTCAAAAACTACAACAAAAACATGTCAAAAATTGGATTGACGCAGCGGTTGGTATTAGACATTTGGAAGGCCATAAATTAAAAAGTTCTAGCGATTTTTAAATCCATTTATATAAATATAAAAATTAATATATATTTACAAATGAGACGTCATTTTTCGATTTATTCTTTTATTTCCTTTTATTTTAATTTCTTTATGTTTATACGTATATTTTATGAGTAAATAAATTTAACAAACTAAATTAAAAAAAAACTTTTGCATCGTTGAATAACAGTATATAATCATTGCATATTAAAAATCAATAATTTGCGCGCACTTTGCAAATAAATAAAAAATTGTTTCAAAAATATAACAATTGATTAAATTCAATAACTATCTTTCATATATCCAAAAGTTTATTAACTAGAATAAAAATTTATTTGAATATAAAACTTATATTCTTAAATACTATTTGACACATATCACTTAAATTAGACATTTGTCAATAATTTAAGATACGAACGTCAACGTCTGTAAAAAAAAAACGATTTGTCGCGCCCTGGTATCTATATAGTACTTAATATATTTTCAGACTGTAAAACTGAATAAAGCCTTTTATCATCATTCTAAAAAGTTCGATTTCAAGACTAAATTGAAATCATTTAATAGAGTGCATATTACAATATCCTACTGATTGATGAATATTCATGTAAGCATGTATATATCTGCATATACTATCATATATTTTTAAATTAGGCTCACCTCCCAAAGCTCCAAAGGGGCAACTACAGTCAAGGAGGCTACTTATTTTTATCAATCAAATTTATCAAATTTACCAGTCAAATCAAAAAAAAAAAATCTTTTATTACAAGATCACAAAGTAAAATGACATTAAATTCGTAATTTTATTTATTACTAAATTGTTACAGTTGATACCTGTTTTTATTTTGTTATTATTATCGTGTATTTTGTCAATTTTCTTATTCATGGTTTCAATAGCTCTACTTGAAAAATCTAAGATATCACCAATTTCATAAACTTTTTTTTGAAGATCGTGGATACTTTGCTGAACATTATTAGTCTAAAAAAATAAACAAATAAATTTTTTTAAATATATATATATATATATATATATTATATATATATATATATATATATATATATATATATATATATATATATATATATATATATATATATATATATATATACAGGCTTCGGCAGGAATAAAAACCGTACGGGCTATGAAAAGCCCGTCTTAAATAGACTTGACGGGCTATGAGGGCCGCCCGTCTAGATGGTCTTGCACGGGCTTTTTTAAACTTTAAAAAAAATTCAAAAAATTCATAAAAAAAAAAAAAAAAAAAGTTTGAACTTTTTTGTTTTTTAAATTTGTTAATTTCTCTTCTTCTTTTTGAATAAAAATGTCATTGAATATTAAACATTTTGTGAATTGCACTAAAATAATATGTTAGAAAGCGATTAACTGTTTAAAATGCTTAATTACTTAAGTAATTAAAACACTGCCGTAAATGAGTTGGATAATACTTAAAACTAAGATTTCAATAATTGTTTTTCAAAGTTTTCACTTGCACAGATCTAATTTCGTTTCACGTGGGTTAGTTGTTTTATGGTTGCTTTTGTTTAAATTTCTTACTCAAAGGAACTTTATTCAGTTTTTTATGTTTTTTTTTTTTAATCTTTATTCCAGATAATATCTGGCAGATATAGTCAAACGAATGAAAGTGAAAACGATGGGAAAAATCCTCGAAACAACTATGGCGTTTCATCAGGTTTCCTTATTCAAGCATCCTAACGTGTTTTTTTACCGAAGTCTTTTTGAGTATATTTATATATTATTGTTTTATTTAAGTATTCGATTAAATTATACAGGTTTTTATCGTGCTTTTTTAGTTCATTCGTTTCTCTTATTCTTTGTGAATAAAAATATTACATAATATTTTCAAAATCTAATTTTTTTAATTATTCAGCAAATAGTTTGAAATCTTTTTTTTTTTTTAACCATGAATCAATGAGCTCGATAGTTTTAGAATTGTTTGGTATTAGCTTGGTAATATGATACGTAACTATGTTATTTTTCAAATTCAATTATTTATATACTCTTGCATTCTATTGGGCGTGCAAATTAAAAACTTAAACTGTTATTTATATTTTTATAACTTTGCTTTACCTATGCCTATCCTGATCGGAAATAGTTATTCTGATACGTGAATAAAAAATTTGAAACCTAATTTCTTTTAATAAAATAAGTTTTTATTTAGAAGTACTAATAATTTCTTAAGATACCGGGGCTTCCGTTACTTTATATACAATATAAGCATGTATATAAGCGTATGTATGTTGCTAGCTTTAACGTTTGTAGTGCCCTCTATAAATGCTAATGCTTTTGATTTTGCCAGACCTTTTAACTGGCGAAGCAATTCTTTTTTATATTTTATACAAACCATACACCATATCTTCACAAAAAAAATTGTTCCATTCTCCACCTCAGTTTTATTTCCACAGACTCCATCTTTACCCCAACTCAAAAATGTTGCTAATGTAACTCTTCTACCAGATGATGCCATTACTATCTTTACTGAAAAACTTGAATAACTTGAAAAACTTGAATGACTGGATAACTTGAATAACTTCATAACTATAAAGCAACACTATTTATATTATCTACAAAAATTGATTAGACGTTTGTTGATTTTTAATGAGATATTTCATTTTCAATAACGAGTTATATAATTGCATATTAAATAAACTGCCGTCTCTTTAAGAAAAAACGTGAAGTTAACGCGGAAGTTAACGCGGAAATATCACTTTAAATGTCTTTAAAGTAAGACAAACTAGTTTATCGGAAAAAAGCGAAATACATGGATAATTAGTTTATTATCGTTATTATTATAAACATTGAAAAACTAAAACAACATGATACTTCTTGTGCATCACATGTGTATATTTCCCTATTTAATATAATAGTTATTAAATTTTGAACATAATATGGTAACTGTTTGGTATTATATCAAACAGTTATCGTCGTTTAAAAAACTGTAAGATTTAGTTATATTATTTTCTACATCATGTTATACAATAATGATCAAATTGTTTAATTTTTATATTTAAATATAAACAATTATAAGTTGGAGTTTGCTATCCATATTAAAATTATGTCATGAGAGAAGTTTTAAAAGAGTATCTTAATAAAAAAACATCAAAATATTTATCTTTTTTTTTTACACAAAACTTATGTTTCAGATGGGCTTTATTTCGCCCGTCTAAACTGACTTAGACAGGTGCGGAGACGGACACGGGCTATAGCCCGTCATTCCTGCCGAAGCCTATATATATATATATATATATATATATATATATATATATATATATATATATATATATATATATATATATATATATATATATATATATATATATATATATATATATATATATATATATATATATATATATATATATATATATATATATATATATTATATATATATATATATATATATATATATATATATATATATATATATATATATATATATATATATATATATATATATATATATATATATATATATAATATATATATATTATATATATATATATATATATATATATATATATATATATATATATATATAATATATATATATATATATATATATATATATATATATATATATATATATATATAATATATATATATATTATATATATATATATATATATATATATATATATATATATATATATATATATATATATATATATATATATATATATATATATATATATATATATATATATATATATATATATATATATATTATATATATATATATATATATATATATATATATATATATATATATATATATATATATATATATATATATATATATATATATATATATATATATATATATATATATATATATATATATATATATATATATATATATATATATATATATATATATATATATATATATATATATATATATATATATATATATATATATATATATATATATATATATATATATATATATATATATATATATATATATATATGAATATGAAGATCGTGGATACTTTGCTGAATATGTTTCTGAATGTTTTTGAATTAGCTATCTTTAATTTTTAATTAGGAAAGTATGAAATAAAAAAAAGATTGAGATTTTAATTTTTTTGTTTCAATTTTCTTACTTATGCTGACATAATTTTCACATTCTTTTTTGTCATTAAATAGCAATATTTAAAAAACTAAATGAGATAACAACCTGAAGTTTGGTAATTAGACAATCTTCCACATAGCAGATTTAAATATCAAATTAAAAAATGTAAATTGAACATTAAAGGCATAATTTTGCAGGTATTTTGACAGTCAAAATGGTGATGTTACAGAGATAAATTTTTTCAAGACATATTTTAACTTAAAATATAGGTATCAAACTTAAATATATTATTGCTTTTAACATCTTTTCTAAATACAGCCTTTTATGTAAAGCATAAATAATTGCTGACTTTTATATTTGTCAATTTTTCAAATATATTAAAGTTATAACTATATGTGTGTATTATCTAGTAAAATATATACATAATGCTTTTAATGTCTTTACTTCCAACAAGGCTGCAAACAACCACTATTAGAGTTAAAAGTTACTGGAAGAGAAAAGATGAAATTTATAGAGCAAGATAATGATAAAAAGACGACTTAAAAGATTGCAAATTATATGAATCAGGAAAACAAGACGAATGAAGCAAATTCCTAGAACTGATGTTTGAGGAAAAAACTAGAAAAATATAAGGCTCAAGCTTGGCAGTTAAAGAAGGTATAACTATATTTAGAATACATTTTCGAACAATTTCAAAAAGATAACATAAAAAGACTTAACTCAAATATGACAAATAAGAGATTTAAAGTATTAAAAAATAGTATCAGGAATTAGAAAAACATGATAAAGAAAAGCAATCGTAGAAGAAGATAACATTGTAACAGTTTAGATATACCACTTCCATGAGAGGTCAATATTAAGTAAACGTAAAGTATGACTCATTTAAAGAGTTGCAACTTATCGATACAGTCAATTTATCAATACAATATGAACAAAATATCAATCAACAAAATATCAATTGTCAAATTATCAACACAATATCAACAGAACTGTGAAAATTTTTTTTTACACAGTTCTGTTGATATTGCAATACCTAAGTTATCACATAAGAAACAAAATTGTATGTGTACATTCCCATTACATAAAATCTTTGCTTCCAACAAGGCTGCAAGCAACCACTAATTAGTGTTGGAAGTTACTGGAAGAGAAAAGATGAAGATTGTAGAGCAAGATAACGATTGACAGACGACTTAAAACATTGCAAATTATATGAATCAGGAAAGCAAGATGAAGAAAGCGAATTCCAAAGAACTAGACGAATAAGAGTTTTTGGAGCACTTAGGAACAGTAACAAAAAAAGGATGAGACTTAATTGAATGACAAGTAACATGAGAATGAATTTTTGTAGATGGCACAAGAGACACTAGCTCTTTAGAGCAGTGCCCATTATAGTATTTGTAGAAAAGAGAAAGAAAAGCAACATTACAATGATGTGACAGAGGCTGAAGGTTGGGTGCATGAGCAGGTCCAACTATGTTTACAATGCGTTTTTGTACCTTGTCTAAAAGAGATCCGCCCCAGATATGGCAACAGTATTCCATACAAGGCCGGATTTGAGATTTATAGAGATAGAGAATAGAATCCAGAGTAAGAAAGTGACAAGCTCAATAAAGAGAAGCAACTTTAGCAGATGCTAATTTTGCAACGGATTTGATATAAGGTTTCCAAGAAAGATCAGAAGTAAGAGTTAATCCTAGAAGATGAAGGGTAAGAGACTCATCGAGTACATTACCGTTCATAAATATAGGAAGGTCTAAATTATTGTGATAATGATTGGCTGAAAAAATTGAGTTTTATCTGAATTAAAGTTCACCAGCCACTGTGAGCCCCATGCTTTAGCAGAAGTGAGATCCTTTTCAAGCTCAGATGCCCCCTGCAAGTAATCAGAGGGAGTTGGCTTCTTATCATGACAAGAATAAATAGTAATATCATCAGCGAACAATGCCACCTTAGATGTGAGAAAATCTGGAAGATTGTTAATGTAAATTAAGAAGAGTATAGGGTCAAGGATTGAACCTTGAGGAACCCTTGAGGTTACAGAATAAGAAGAAGAGTGCTGTCCATCGAGGACAAATTTTATACTACGATTGGAAAGGAAGGATTCGATAATCTTAAAGATGTTTCCAGATACACCGTAAGAAGAAAGCTTATGGAGAAGATCAGCATGCCAAACTTTATCAAACGCCTTAGAAATGTCAAGAGCGATGGCCTTAACCTCTCCACCTTTATCTAATGCGCGATAAAACCTATCAGTTATTACTGTTAGCAATTGGTGTAAGGTTTACCAGCTTGGTATAAGTTTTACCAGTAAACAACTGATTTTTTTGGGTTACATATCACCAGGCATTGCAATACCTAAGTTATCACATAAGAAACAAAATTGTATGTGTACATTCCCATTACATAAAATCACATTCAAAATCAGCTGTTTGTTTAGACAATCAAAAAGCAGCAACTTGCTGTTGTACTCTGATACTTTCTTGCTAATGAAGGAAAAAGGCTTTATCACAGAAAGCTACTACAGAGTTCAAGAAACCTTACTATAAGCCGGCAACAGTAACATTAAACTGAGTTTCAGTGCCGTACCTTTGATAGATAACATAAAAAGTCAAAATAATGCAATTAGTATTATACTAATAAAAATATAATATTATATAAAGTTGTTTTTTTTTTATTTGAATTTTATGTTATTTTAACTTTTACCCTGACTTTTGCAATATTTTTTAGCCTGAATACCCTTAGCAAAAAAGTTTTTTTGTCACCTTTTTGGTCTTTAGTGTATTGAAATAGGGACAAGTTCACAAGTCTCTATATATGCTACTTTATTCTAATAAGTAATACCATTTAACAACATTTTGATTCTATTTAAAATATTGATTACAACAATTTTTATACAATTTCAGTAAATTTAAGTTAAGTTTATACAATTAAACTTCTACATGCTAAAAATTCTAAATACTAAATCTATACAAATATAAAAAAACATGTAACTATTAATAATAGTATATAACTTAATATAATAGTAATAACTTTTTAGATTTAATTTTAATTTTCACCATGAAAAACTAGTTGACATTTTTTTTTTAAATAAATGAAAATTTTCACTTAAAATAGTCTAAAATAACCTTCTAAAATAGTCTAATTTTTACCAGCATTTTTTTTTTACTCGAATTCACTCCCAACAAAGCCGCAAACAACTATTAAATTACTAGAAAACAAAGAGCACAGAAATAGCTGGCAGAAGATTTGAAAGGTTGTAGGTGGCATGAGTCTGGAAAACATGAATATAGGAGAGAGTTCCAAAGGATCGAAGTATAAGGGATAAAAACTAGATAAAAGGTTTTTAGAGCATGCAGGGACAAATACAGTAAAAGGATGTGACTTCGCTGAATGATGAGTCAAGGGGGAATGATTTTTAATTGATGGAACTAGAGATGATCTTTGAGTAGCACCATGAAAGTATTTGTACAAAAGAGCATGAGATACAATTTTATGAGGATGGGAGAGAGGCTCAAACTTGGCAGATAAAGCAGGTCCAACAACATCAATAACACATTTTTAGACCTTATTTGTATATATGTATTTCATAAAGGAATGAATATGAGATTTGTAGTGGTTGAGAATGGAATCAAGAGTAAGATAATGGTGAGCACAATAAAGAGAAACAACCTTAGCAGATAATAACTTTGCAATTGATTGTTTATATGTTTTACATGAGAGGTTAGTAATGAACAATAATCCAAGTAAAGAAAAGAACTCAGTAAGTAAGCTTGCCATTTATTGACATAGTAATGTTTATAGTTTTGTGATGGTTGTTTGCAGTAAATAACTGGGTTTTGTTAGATTTAAAACTCACAACCCGCTGCATGCCTCACCACTAACAAAAGTGAGAATCAGAATTTAAAATACTAACAACAATATAACACAATTTTGTTCAGTTGTTGCAAATATTGTAACAAAAGCCGAAAAAAAATTAAACAATATTAACTATACCTCTTCCTGAAAGCCATCATTATATGTATTTGAGCTAAATTGATCCAAAAAGAAATACAGGCACATAATAATGAAAAAAAAAGAACTGCTACAAAGTAAAGCTGTTAACTTCTTCATTTCAAATTTGCCAAATTTTTCTAAAAATAAAGTTATTATGAACACCATTAATAAGTATATAAATGTTTTCTAAAAAGACTGCTTCATTATGTAAAAAAATACCTTATTTTTTAAAATTATTAGTTATTGTGCTTACATTTATAAACAAATGCTGTATTATAGCATGATACTTCTTATTAAAAAATATTTAATTTTAATGGTATTCTTAATTTAAAAAAAACTATAAAAAAATGGTTATATAGTATTTAGTTTAGTTAATAATTAAGCTCATTAAATAAATTTGTCAAGTAAGACAAAAAAATCTTTTTCTATTTAATATTTTACAAAATCTATTCTATTAGCTGCAAAAGTATATTTTAATATAGACGGGTAGTAGTCAATGATTAAATGAGAAAATTTATCAATAAAGTAAATCAAAAACAGACTTAAATCGATCAAAAATAGCTATTTTCACTATTAAAGGCAGGACAGTTTTACACATTTACACATCCTCAAAAAAGATTTTTAATAATTTAATTATAATTACTCTGACATATTTATAACAACAAAATGTTTATGAGTTATAGAAAGCAATTAGTTTTATACAGATAATAGAGTAAATTAAACATACAATATAGCCTAAATTAAACTATAACATAATATAATAATTAATTATAATAATTGAAATAAATTTCAAAACAAAGCATATTGATACTAAAAATGTGTTAGTGTGTGTGTTTTTGTGTATATGTATATGTGTCTGTACTATTTTTAAACTTTTTGACAAAAAAATATTTATTTTAATAACATTAATAATAGTTTATTAGTTTATATTTTAAATTCTAATTAGAAAATTTTAGTTAAAATATTAAAATTTTTAGTTAAATATTTATTAATAATATATCGCTAGAATTAAAAAGAATTTCTAAACTTAATTTTAAGGAACTAAGAGTTAACTCTTATAACTTGTTAAACATTGTAAATAAAACCCCAAAAATAGAGTTGAACATTGAAATGAATAAAAGTTTTATTTGTATTTGAAAATATGATTTTTTTCAAAAATACCTCGCGAATTTTTGATTTTTAATTTTTTTATTGTAAATATAATAAGTAACATGATAAGTAAGATAAGTAATTACAATAAATAAATTAAAAACCAGATTTGATTGAATTAAAATTTGATAATAACTTTTATTTACATTTTTTGTTAATTATAATTAACACTGCATTTTCTGTTCCCAATTTCGATCTTTAGCTTAAAATAGTATTTTGTTATAAATTGAATAGATATGGCAGCTATGTAAACCAAATAACGACAGGGGTATGTGTAGCAAATCGTTTAGATGGCACGGTCTCTGAAAATACGCATATATATCAAAGTAATTTTTATTTTTGGA